TATTTCGCAGTGTTCCTACGTTCTGGCAGAAAATTGAGTCAATAAACTGCGGTTTGCGGTGTTTTCCCGAGAATAAAGAACCAGTGACCGCCGTAGACGGCCGATGGCCGTCGCGGTTTGGCCGTGGTTCCGCGAAGCAGGTTTGGGACGTGAGTGGAGAGCTTTTCTTGGGTGGAGCTTCACCGATGGGTCGCAGATGCACTGCGTATGTAAGCATGGCTTTGTCTACACCTTTCCAAAAGCCCAAGATATGTCAGCAGATGTCCGATCACGTTGACGGTCACGAACCCGGATTTCGACAAGCTTTCGTTACCACTATGCCAAGACAAACGTCCCACGACAGTGTGCACAGACGGTGGCGGTGATTGTCGCGGACCCATCGGCATCGGGACAGTCTGAACCGTTGCAATTGGGTTGGCGAATAATTACTCCGCTGCAAAACGAGTCGGAGACGGCGATGTCCCATTTGGTCTTCCGTGGGGGTGCAGGTTCAGGGACTTTTGCTGGTCATTTACGCTTCCAGCATTCTTGTTACGGAGGTCTTCCCCGTTTTAGCGCTCTCCCAGCCCCTACGATCTAGCGCCTGTGAGAAGCCTCACCTAGCCTGCCTGCCTACCTGCGAGCGACTGGATCTTTATGCAAGCCCCTAGACAAGGGCGCTTCGGGGGAGCTACAAGGGCCTAATGCACCAACGGAAACTTGAACCAACCACCGGAACCGCTAACGGAGCATCTTGCCTCGTTTGGGAATTTACTATCGTGAATGGGGATGAATGCATACATCGTATGGCGCCTGGCGAGAGTGTTGAGGGACACGAAAGGAAGGAACGTTGAAGATTTTTGTCTATTGTGTAGACAGAACGAATCCAGATCAGCAGAATGACGCACAGGGTTGACTGTAGCAAGACGCTGCTCTCACTGCGAGCGTATGGGAGGAAAAAGCAATGGACAATTGAACGCTATTTAAGTTGTATTTTTCGTCAGATGGCGGAAGCTACGGAGCTAAGGACGAAATGGCCAGGGCCAGTCTCTCGTACGAGAAGGTGTGATGGAGCCGGTACAACAGGGGGCCGATGCACCCTGGTCGACGCGGGCGAGCGGGAAAGAAAATCAAATTAGTAAAAGAAAGAGAGGCAAGGATGGCCAAACTTGTGCGTGCGACATGCGAGGCATCTCATTGCGTTCGAAATCCTCGGTAGACAAAACGCAACAACGACCTTTCAAAAGGGGGCCAAAAATAAATAAAAAAAGTAAGCTCCCACCCAGTTGAAACGGCTTTCAAAACAAACGATGAAAAATGTCCGAAATGAGAAAGCGCAAAGTAATTGGCAAGCGCGGCAAGATCGATCGACTGTGCACTTTCTACACAAACTTTCTTTACGCCCTTTTCCAGCCGCCCTTGCCTGCCTCTCTGCATTGGCCGGCCTCGTTCGATTCCCTCCGTTGCGCTTGCCTCTCTGGCGGGACTGCTGCAACCTCGCAATACCCCTGCTGTCGTATTCGGGGAGAAAAGCCAACGAAGAGCACAGACGGTGGCTTTTTTTTCCTTCCGTGTGTTGGTCGCACCTGCTTGTCCCTCTCAAGAGCTCCTTCCTAGATCGACCTGTTTTGGTGTGATTGGGCCAGGGGCCAGAATTGGTCCAAATTGGTGGGTGAAAGGAAGGAAGGCACTATCCGGACCAAAGTCCTCTCCGGCTGGCTGTGTATTAGCCAGCTGGACGTAAATCTTACCTTGCAACGGCGATCCTTCAAGATCTCGGCCGATTTTTTGTTTCGGTTGGGGCGACCGAGCCCTCCACTGTGAGGTACGACAAGTGGATTTGGATTACACACATCCGCCCCGGACACTACTTCGTAGTATGCTCGACAGCACTGCACATCTTTTCCTTTTATCATTGAGTCTCCCTTTTAACCTTCTCACACCCCTCCCTGGTTGCTGTCGTTGCTACCTTTCCGTGCTACCTCTCTTTTACTTTGGTTCTACCCTTTCTTCCTCTTTGTCCCACTCCAGATACGTGCACAATGGCCTCATCCATGTCTATGGACCTCTAAAAGACCAATCCAAACCGCCTCGAAACGCCCTCCTTGTCGACGGATTTCGATGCTGGCTTGACATCCAGCTCGACTTGGGAAATATGGGCTGCGTCACACCGCGTCGGCGGTCTCCGGACCGTCTGTCCTCGCCGTTGCGTGCGATCTCGCGTTCGACGTCGTCGACGACATTAGGCGCTTTGACGACTTTGACAAACGCATCGACGTTCGTGGCGGATGCACCCGAGCCCACCAAGGACAGCAAGACCGACGCTAGCTCCGACGGCAGCAACTCAGACGTGGATGAGTTTGCCGAATTGAAGCAGCGTCGTGCCGAAATGGCGGCCATGGCCAGCCGGGTCATGGCTCTCTACGACGCTGGTGTCCCCTTATTCACGCGTGGCGCGCTTCGCCAACTGGGGCTGCAGCTTGACCATAGCGCTGGCGTCCGGTCCGGCGACAGGAATGCCACAGTCACTGTTTGTGGCATGGACGGCCGCAGGGTGCGGTTGACCACACAGTCGGGCGCCGTGTCTGCTACTGCCGTGCACCCTGACATTGTTCTGGTAAAGTACGTTGTCTGCCACGACGGCAGCATGCTATGAAGAGACGAGGTGCATGTCGCTGTGCCCCATTCGCCTTGCTCTTGTACGGCCATTAAGAACGTGTTCTTTTCTAACGCCTGTCTTTTGCAGCGTGAAACCCCAGATCGATTACTGGAACATTGAAAAGCTTACGGGCAACGCCTTGTGGCACATTCGGCGGTTTGACCCAACAAGGGCTTTTCTTCCACTGCGCATAAGCCACATCCAGGAGGCCCGGTACCGTGATGCGAACGGCACCATCAGCAGCAGTGGCAGCAGCACGGTGGCAGAACTGGCGAGCGGCCTTGCGTCCATGTCTCTCTCGAATACAGAAGCAAAGCCATCTCCAGCAACGGTTCCTGCGCCACGAGCACGACTCAACGTCGACGAATTGCAGGCTGCGTTCCGGCGACATCGAGACACGTGGGAAGCAAGCGACGCCTGCCACCAGCTTCGCGAAACACTCTTTGCGAGCCTTGCACCGCAACTGGTGCCGCGTGGGCGAGCGATTGTCCGCAAGATTGTGGCCTTTGCGTGCTCGTCCATGACCGAAGAGCGAGAGGGCGGCAGTGCACGCCACGCTGTGCAACATGCCATGATGCTGACAGTGCGTGATGTGTTGGAGCAGATCCAAACAGACGCAGGGGGCGGCGTGGAAACACAGCTGGACAGCGACTCGGAGACCGATTCGGAAACAGACGGAATAGCCGTGAAAGCAGCGACAACTCGGGAAGCGCCACAGCCGGTTACTGTGGATTGTTTTGCGCAAGATCCCGCGTACGATGCGGCCGACCGAGCCGTACTCGCCATGGAAGGCGTTTCCGTGCTTGAGGATCCATACGGCTTCCTGGCCGTGGATGAGACGACCGTTGTGATTTCCGTCGCGCCGAGCGTGCCTGTGCGCCAAATTGTGACCGACATTGCGCGCCCAGCCGCAATGATCTGGGGTCGCGTCGTGGACGAAGGTGCTGCGGCTGCAGCTGGTGCACGGCCCTCATCCGTCTTGGTGGATGACATGGGCGGCTTGTCCGATCCTGCATCGTCGCGTGTCCAGCAGATGATTGAGGCAGACTACGCCGAGTTTGACTTTCCTCGCGACCCTCACAACTTTGGCACTGTTGATGGTGTTGCACTCTATGTGCGAACGTCACCAGCGGCACGGCCACCCACCCCGCCGTTGACCGACGACCAGGCCGGCTGGAGCGCGTCACTCTTTCAACGCCTTCATCGCACCCTCCTCTGCCAGACCACATTGACATGAGCAATGATCTTGTCCCTCTTTTTTGTTTAATCGCTTTGCTTTCTATATTTTCTCTATTTCCTGGCAGCATTTTCACCTTTCGCGGATACCCCGACGCTTCGACGACACTCCTTCTTTCAGTTTCGTTTTCTTGAGTTTCTTTTGTTTTGTTTTGTTTCTTGTCATTCTTTCATTCTTTCATTCCTCGTGGTTATGTACCGCGCCTCGTTTCGGATATCGCTACTCGCATTATGGGAGTATTATGGCATGTACGTGCATTTTATGACACCATGGATAAAACTGGGATTAAAAGGAAAATGGCGCTATAACGACTTCTTGCTTTTCTTGGTATTTAGCATTCTGCATTTTTTTTTAACGACTTCTGTTCATGCGGTGCATCTGACAGTGTAGAATGACGCACATCTTTGTCTATGGGGTCAGAAAATAGCAGTCTTCAGTTTTAGGTCCAAATGCAGCGAGGCAGCATGTTGCAATCTTCTTTCGAGAAGCGTCATCCTAGCGTTGTGAGATCTCCGTTGCACAAGTGGCTAGGACCTCCTCGCAAGGATGGCCGAAAAAGAGGGTTACATCAAAAACCAAGGTTTGTTCGATTGGGAATGGAAAATGAGATCGCACGTTTGCTGCGCTGGATGGCTGGCTGGCAAGCCTTCCTAAGGAATGAAAGGTGTGGATGGAGATCTGAAATAGCCTATGAATGTGCTATTCTTACATCAGTGCATGAGGTTTGGGTGTGCGCCGATGTCCAGGATGCATCCTTTTTAACCAGGGTGCAGAAAAATGACGTCGGAGGCGCCTAGTCTGCGATCCCCACAACCAATATCGATATCAAGCCAACTACAGCAAAACTCGCCACAAGACGACGCAATTGTCGTGCAACGACGTAAGAACGAGTAAACAATAGGAGAAGGATCCCAGAAAACGTGGTTAACGTAGGGGAGATGTGGAGTCATTACTACGGTTTGTGAATATAAAGAAGTGATGCTGCCGATCACAGCACAGATCGCCTCGACACGTTCTTCTCCTTGTTCAACAAGTCTTACTCTTACCAAACAAATTCCCTTTTTTGACGAGCGCATTCATCCAAGCAACGTTCTAGGAAACAAAAAACTCTTACCAAAACCCACAATGTCCGACACACAGTCCTCGCCGCAATCGTTGGCCTCGGCCAACAAGAACGACAAGAATAACCAAGACCAGAAGCAGCAGACCTGGTCTGGCGCCGCCTACGGCAAATACAACGAACTCTACGAGAGCTGGGCGCCCTGGGCCGAGGACGTGTACCTTCGTTACTTTACACGCCACAACAAGGCCAGCTACGCGACCGAAGACACGCTGGCCAAGACCAAGGTGACGGGCATCAAGCAGGTGGACACGCTGCAGGACGGCGTCAACGGGCTCGTGGCGGGTCAGCTGGGCCAGGGCGGGCTGGCGCAGCCGGTGGGCGACTGGGCGTCCAAGGAGGGCGTGAACAGGGCCGAGCGCAACGGCAAGGACGACAAGGGTAAATACCTGCCGTCGGGCACGCCGGCAACCATTAGCAGCGGCGCCGAGGCCGTGGCGGACGGCGGCAAGAGTGCTGCAGGCGCTGTCAGCGGCGGTGTGAAGTCAGTCGGCGGTGCCGTAGGCGGCCTGTTTGGAGGCGGCAAGAAGCAGTAGAAGTGAAAGTGGGAAGGACGGAAATGGTGGCAACTGCTAAGTTTTTATACCTCGAAGTGCGAGTCACATTATGAAATCGTGGCCTGCCTTGTTCTTTTGATTGTGTTGTTCAATTCTGTTTCATAGTATATTTCATATTTCTAGTTGTCTATCTCGTATCGGAAATAATACCAGCAACGACTTTCAATACACAAGAAAAATTGGCTGGACTTCGTCCGTCAGTTCACCCTCCTTCGGTTTTCTTACCGAAAATAAACACATAAAGCGCATTAAAACAACCCCGGTCCAACTTGCGGCCCTTGTTCTTTGCGGCTGGGTGTTCTGGTCCCTCAGCCTGTACACCACCACTATCGTCCCCACGAGATCCATTTCCCGGGCCGATGGAGGCAGCTTCTCTCTCCTCGTCGTCAATTATGTTGGCCCCCGAATCATCGTCAGCTGTGCTGATGTCCCTTATATTTGGGTATTCGCTGCCGCCGTCCCCGTCCCCGCCTGTACCTTCACCGCCTTCCCTACCCTCATCCTCAAATAAATTGCCCGCGCGAGCGGCCTCGTTCTCTCCATCACGGCCGGTCGGGACTACCCGGATTGAACGGCCACAGCCCTACGGCAACCGGTCGCCGGTGTACACATTATAGCCACCAACAGACACCATGAACATTTCTGGATCGCCAGCATTGACCTTGCCGCTCTGGTCGGCGCCCCCGTCTGCCTGGACATCGTCGTATGCAAAGGTATAGCCCTTCCCATCGAGGTTGGCAGCGTGCACAATGCGGCAGTAGTGGTTTGTGGGATCGACCGTGTAGAACCCCTGCGTATTGGCCGAGGGCTGGATCGCGTCAGTGAGAAGCGTACTACGCTGGAAGGCAGCCGCCAGACGGGGAATAATGGCGTTGCGGACCCGGCTCGACCCTGTCGTAAAGGGACCCGAATTGCAGCCCAGAATGTCGTCGGTCGTCGGCTTGTTAAACCCTTCTCCATCAAACACAAGCTGGCCATTACTAATTGTTCCGTCGATAACGCCGAGGTCGGTCTGGGTGTTGATGCTAAGCTTGCTACCGCCAGCATACTGCTTCCACACCTGATCAACATACGGCTCGTAGTAGCCCGCAAAGCTGCCACCGACAGCATCACCGTGCGTCGGGTTCAGCACCCGCAGGGGCTGGTCGTTGGGGCCGGCATTGGGCGGCATGACAATCAGCTTGTCCCATGGTTTGCCATCGCGCTTGGCCTGGGCACGCAGCTGGTCACAGACGGTAGCAAACGCCTCGGCGCGCATGCCGGACACATGTTGGACCTCCTTGCTGCCGCCCTGACGCTGCAGGGTCAGCGCTATAGGCAGGCGGCCGACAAAGTCCACGTACGAGATGTTGGCAAACAGCTGGTCGGAGTTGAGGGTGAACTCGCAGAACGAAAAATCCACGGCCGCATTGGGGTCCGACGGGTTGAGCACCGACGGCTCAACCAGCGCGGGGCCGGCTACGGGGTTGTTGGAGGGGTTCAACAAGAATGTCAGCTTTTTGGACCCGCGGCTGAACCAGATGCGACCGCCGGCAATCTGCGGGATGGTGACATCGGTCACAGCGCCGTTTTTGCCGAGCGGAATAGCTACATCGGCCTGGAGGGGCTGCAGAATAGCTGGCGGGTCGACCGGGTAGTACAGCGAGTGGCCGTCAGCCGCGACGAGGACACGGCGTGAGTTTTTCTTGATGTCGAGACCGGTGACATAGGCATAGACCTCGTCGGGCGAGGTGTTTTGCAGGCGGAGAACAAGCGAGTCAGGCATGATGACGATGTCCGACACGGAGTGGAGATTGGCGATGGGAACGGGGTTCTTGTTCAGCAAGATAGTCAAGTATCAATGCAATAAACGGTGATGTCCAAAAAGAAAAAAGAAAAGAAAGAAAATGTAAAAGTTGAGCGGGCGGACCAAGAGTAAAGTACTGTAACCGGAACAAATAAGGTCCAGTGGTATGCAAAGGGAGTCCGATGCCTGCCCGTATTTGGAATGAAGTAGACAACGAAAGTTGGCTGGGTGGAGTAGAAGCAAAGGGGGGTCACCCGTCTTGAGCAAGCTTGCGCGGTCAGCTTGACTCAAGTCGGCCAAAACAAACCAAGCACATGTCCACCAAGCACATGTCCACCAAGCACCCTCTTTTTCTTGTTTATCCCTGCATTTGCCACAGTCATTCGCACCTGCCCTTCGAAAAAACAAAGTCAACCATCCACAAGCTGGCGAGGAAGGGGCAGCCCGTGTTGTCCGAATATGTATTGATTTTGCGCAAAGTCCGGCGCAACTCGCAGGTGCCGCCCGGTCTTTCGGGTCACGGGGCAACACTTAGCTCCCAGACACGGAGGGCACACCTTCCAACGTCCTTCCAACGTTTCGCTAGTGGCACTCCTGAATACTAGACACCATGATAGATGCATTCGCCGTCTTGATCTCCTGTCCTTTGCTTGATATCTCGGATTTTTATTTAAGTTTTCATTTGTATTGTTGTATACTCCATACTCGAAGGTCAAGCCTCGACGCAAATGCAATGAGAACGCCCATCAAATCAAAATGACATATATTTCCGGAATGTAGAATTCTTCACCCGATGCTTCATCTCTCCTTTGTAAACTCGTCCGCCTTGTAAGCGGCTTCGTTATTGGCGTGCTTGGCCTTGGACGCAAGGTCGTCGCGCAGCTCATCGGCCTTGTATGAAGCTTCGTTCTTTGCGTGCTTGGCCTTGGACGTAAGGTCGTCGCGCAGCTCCCCGGCTTTGTATGCGGCGTCGTTCTTTGCGTGCTTGGCCTTGGACGCAAGGTCGTCGCGTAGCTCCTCCGCCTTATCCGCAACCCGGCCGCCGGTAATGTCCTTGCTGGCCTCCTTGGCCTTGTCGGCAACGGCGGCTAATCTGTCAGTCCTCTGTGCTATGTGATCTTCAAAATACTGTAGCACGACTTTCACTTACAGCCAATGTTGATGCCGTCAACAAGTTTGTCCGAGACGGCACGGTCGACCGACTTCAGCGTGTCCTTGGCGGCCTCGGTGACGGTCTTGCGCTGAGGCGCGGTGCTGGACAGGTGCCGGCTGTGGATGAACGAAGCAGTAGCAACACGGGGCGCCAAGGTGGTGGCCGAGATTCTCGGGGCGGCCGTCGCCACGCGGCGGAAAATGCTCTCTGTGAGGAACGACATGTTGAAGATTTGCGGACGAATGAGAAAGAAAACAAAAGATGAGATTTTTTTGGTAGAGTTTGTATTTCGCGGTGACTTTTGAAGTAAATATCTTTATTCGCTTAAATTCACGGGCTTGAGTTCTTTTATATCTTGCGTGTAGGGTATGTTTGTACTCTATGGCAAAGTCGCCCACTCCTGTTGGCCATGATGTCATCTATTTGGATCGTACCCAAAGGGCGCACTTTTCTAGCCAATCATCGACATGACGTAGACCATTCGCCAATGCGATGCAACTCAACACGCAGCAAACAAGCAACTCGCAAACAACTACGCCAAAAAAAGAACAAAGACTTTCACAATTAATTTGATTGATTGAGAACAGCTTTTGGTTCTTTTTAAATTTAGTTTTGTTAAATCTTTCTGCGCGGCACAACTGGGAAACGACTTTCACTGCACCTTGCATGTGATCGCTAATTTGCTACAGAAAATCTGGATTAAGGAAATCCAATCATTCTGACTTTTTTCTCAATCATTCTGACTTTATAAACCAAGGGAGCCATGGTCACCCTGCTTCCTCTCAAACTGCCAAAGTAGCGGAAGTGGGACTTTCCGTGTTGTCGTCTGAGGAGCATTGACATAGAAACTCTCCATGTATATGAATTGGGCTAAAGAGCTCTTAAAGAAGACAGACGTGAGCAGCATTTGGCTTCATAAGCCTCTCCTTCTCACGCTCTCCTTCTCACGCTCATACGAGGGGATACAATCATTCATTTTCAGATTACTATGACAAGACTGCAGCGTATGCTTATTTTTCCAAAATGAATGACAGGTCTTCCTCACACGCTCTCTAGATAGAAGTCAGGTTCCGAGAGTATCATCATGTGCAGACACATACGGTTTTTAACATTGGTACCGGACGATATAGTTCGGATTTGGGGCGTGGGGTGTTCGAGGCCGTTGCTGTTTATCCTTACACCACGGAGATTATTAAATAAGAAGCGAATTTTATAAAATGATGGCAAAGGGAAGGAATTGGATGGTTGTTGTGTCCCCTTGCTCAAATACAGCTTCGACCCAATGAATTCCAGTAGAGCTTCCAGAACGAACCCAGTCGTGAGAGGGCTGCTGTGAGGCAGGTGCTCAGCGCAACGGTAAGACCCACTATCAAGGGCCGCGCGGTCGGGAAGGACAGGGACAATACAGCCGTTAAACCTATGGAGATTTGGTGACAACAAACTCGTCACCGTTCTTGGTTGCTTTCTTCTCGAAAATGCAGCGGGTCTTTTCGCATTTTCTTAACCATCTCCCTCTTTCTATTTCAGGACTTCAACCACAAACGAGGCAACTGTTTCGGGGTCCAAGCTCCTTACATCAGGCCCATAACCCATTCCTATCTTCTGTAAGATTCAGTCTCACTTGTTTATTTTGGGCGCTGTGAAAGGGCTGTTTTATTTTTACAAAACGGCCTCCCATTTCCCCTTACATCACTCTTCAGCGGGGTGTTGTTGGCTACCGTTGGCCTAACAGATGGGCGTCAACCACAGGTATTTACACCATACCTGGACATATGTGAGATGGGAGGCAAGGGCCTAGAAATATACCTGCCAGAACTCGTACGAGACCTGACATAAATTCTGGTTGCAAAGTTTTTAAAATGAAACGGCGATGTGTCCCGTTTGCTCTGTAAGTTGTCTGTTCCTTCCTGCTCCACACAGTCGGGCGGGAAGGAACTGGATGCGTATTAGAAGGTCTATCTATGGCAGGCGTGGGTACATGAAAAGCCGAGCAAACCGCCGCTTCTGCTTTGTACCCGTGGGTCGCGACTGCCCCGCCAGACAGATCTTTTGAAGCTGCTGAGCTCAGTTAGTGGTGCTACCACATGTCCAGTGCAATTGCGGTTTACGTCGTTTCTGACAGCAAACATTGGTCCGTCTTTCCTCTCCCAAATTTTCTCGCGCTTCTTTTCGCTCCTTCTGTTTGAGTGGCGGCCATCGGCTCTGCTGAGTGTTGGCCACTTTCCTCGCGCTCTCCGCGCCCTTGCATGATTTTTTCTTTCTCTTACTCTTTTTTTCGTTTCCCCTTGGCGCGTCTTCGTCCATACCGTTGCGATCAAACTGACATTCTTTTCCGCCTCGTTTGGACGTCCATTCTTCCTTTATATTCCTTACTCGTCCTCCGCCGAGCGGGCCCTACCCTACGTCGTCTCTACGCCTCGGCTTCATAGCAGTCCTTATCGCCCGTTGTCGTTTGCCTGTTTCTCCAAATCTCATTCGTCCCACGCCAGCATCTGACGCCCTCTTTGGTTTCGGTTTTTTTTGTCTTTGTTCTTCCTTTCACAACTTGCTGATCACTTTTCGCCACTGTCGCGACTTCTGTGGATTGCCCTATCACAGAAAACGCGGCGAATTTATTCCTGTCAATTGGCAAAAGAGCTTGACGATCATTTAGCGAGCGTGAAAATGGCTGGTGCGGAGGATTCACTGCCCGAATGTAAGATTGTGATTACGATTTGACTTACCCCGCCGAATGTCACAAAACCAAAACTCCTCGGCCAGCACCGCAACGCAACGAAAGCATTGGCAGTCGGACGAGATACCATTTCTTCCTATTTACCATCTTGCACCTCCAATTGTCCTCCGTCTCTTTCTTTCGACGGACGCAGGAGCTTCGCAACCGGCGAGGCCCCAGGACCCTCGGCAAAATACAAGTCGCATAGCATCGTTTGCTAACGCAAGATTGCCGCCATGACAGGTCTCGCCCCGGCGCAGAAGCAGGTCCACGATGCGCCCAACGCGGCCGGAACGCCCGGCTCGACCAGCGATGGACGGCCCGGGTCATCTATCCGTTTCCAGCACCAGATCGAGGACACAGATTTCGCAACAAAGGGCCAGCCGGCGGCAGGCTTCCAGCCAGGCGTCGTCGATGCTAACGTCACCCCGGAGCAGTTGAGGGACCTCACAACCTCCCTCGGTGCCGCACGCTTACAAGGACTGCGTGTCGCCAATTTCGCCTATGAGCCCATGTCGTTGCCAGCTTCTAGAGTATGTTTTCATGCTTTTCCGCATTCGCCTTCTTCCAGTGGTCCCTGTGTCACCGGTGCATCCGTAATCGGACGTTTCTAACTCATTGTCTAGACTGTATCCCACGACGACGATTCCCGTCACGCTAGTGGCCAGCAGACGCCCGCTTCGGGCGGCTCTCCCATGCTCAGTGCAGCAGCCCACGAGATACAGTCGCCGCCATTGACGCCATCCGGTACGCCCTACCTTGACGCCGAGAGAAAATCACCTCTTGTGCCGACCGACGTCGCTTCTTCACAAGGCCCGCGCCATGGTGTTATTACCCCACAGGAGTCCTCGAAAGATGCATCGCCACCGGCATCCAAGGCCAACCTAGCAGTCGCCGATAATCGACCTGCAACGTCCGGCGACACGTCCCGCCGCCCCGTCTCCTCATCCGGCATCCACGACCAGGTCCTCGACGGCAACCACCGGAAGGGCATGTTTAGCATCGGCCCCACCGTTAGCGGTTCCAGTGGCAGTGCCGGCGGCGGAAAGTCGCTCCCGGTATCCCGTGAAGTTAGTCCCTCGAGAAACAACTCTGCCGCGCAGTTCTACACTCGGCCGTTTACACCGTCCGGCGACTCCCATGACCCGTACGCTGCCAATAAGCGCCAACCTCAGAACAAGATCGAGCCGCGCTTCATGTTTTCCCGGCTGTCGAAACGCAAGGACCCTTCACCGACCGCGTCGACAATTTCAATCCCAAAACACAAGGACGAGAAACGCCACTCAGGCCTGTTCGGGAATCACCAACACAAGAAAAACCACGATGACGCCGCTCAGGAGGACAGCCAGATCACGCACAGTCGCCAAAGCTCTATGTCTGACTTGAAGCGCTTCTTCAAGCTTGGTCCATCCCATCACCACAAGATCAAGCGGGCGGTGTCACCAGCTATGTCTATACGCTCAGCCAAGCTCCCCGGATCAAAATCATCCACGCAGATTCCGTTTGGAGACGAGCACAGCTTGACATCCAAATACGGAAAGCTCGGCAAGGTGCTGGGAGCCGGTGCCGGAGGTTCTGTTCGTCTGATGAAGCGAAGTGAAGACAACACTGTTTTCGCAGTGAAAGAGTTCCGCGCTCGTCATGCCTATGAGAACGAAAAGGACTACGTTAAGAAGCTCACTGCTGAATACTGCATTGGCTCATCCCTTCATCATGGCAATATCATTGAGACACTCGACATCATTCGTGAGAAACAAAAGTGGTACGAGGTTATGGAGTACGCGCCGTACGACCTTTTCGCCATCGTCATGACTGGCCAGATGACAAGGGCTGAGGTTGCCTGCTGTTTCTTGCAGATTGTGAGCGGCGTGACGTACCTGCACAGCATGGGCCTTGCCCACCGTGACTTGAAGCTCGACAACGTCGTTGTCAGTGAACACGGCATTATGAAGATTATCGATTTTGGTAGTGCACATGTCTTCAAGTATCCATTCGAGAGTGGTGTCGTGATGGCTTCAGGTTCGTGGTAGCTCCCTACTCAACATTTTCTTTCCCCCCTTTGTTGAATCCTTACTGATGCTGTCGCTTAGGTATTGTTGGATCCGACCCGTACCTGGCCCCTGAAGTCTACGACGAACGAAAATACGACCCTACGGCGGTGGACATTTGGTCTCTTGCCATCATATTCTGTTGCATGACGCTTAGAAGGTTTCCGTGGAAGGTCCCTCGCTTGTCCGACAATTCCTACAAGTTGTTTGCAGCCGAGCCAACCCCGGGCCACGATCCCAAGAAGCTGGCAATGGCTGGCCGCCTTGGCAGCTCAGCGAGGGCGGACGAGGAACCTCTCGTGGAGGCTGCAGAGAAGGAAAAGGTTGAGCAGCCTGAGCAGCAGGCCAAGGAGATCAGTGAAAAGAAAGACGTCGCGGAGGAGAAGGTTAAAGTGACCGAGACAAATATCAAACCCGAGGCCGCCGAAAAGACCAACAACGACGGTCTTACCGACAAGGCCGACAAAAAGGACGATGTGAAGGAGGCGGTCGACAAGTCGGCAGAGTCTAGCAAGGCCGCAGACAAGCCAGCAGAAAAGCGCGAGGTCATTCGCGGCCCGTGGCGCATTCTTCGGCTCCTTCCCCGGGAGAGCCGTGTTGTCATCGGCAGCATGCTGGCCATTGACCCCAAGGACCGAATCAAGATGGCGGATCTGATCAAGGACCCGTGGGTCGCTGACACTGTGATTTGCCGACAGATTGAACCCGGCAGGATCATCCGCTCTAGTACGCACACGCATATACTCGAACAACCGACCCCAGTCGTGAAGTAGAAGCTTTTTATAATCGATCAACCTGATCTTCGCTGAGCGAATGCAAGGCCAACTTATGTTTCAGGCCGAAAGAAAAACGGAAGTTTATGGAGCGTGCTTTTTCTAACGGTTTACTAGGGTCGTCTGGATATACTTGTGTTGTTTTATATTCTACTTCGGATTTATTTGCGTTTGCACTTTTGCCTTTCCTGTTTCACACTCCATTTATATTGACCCTCTGTTTCCATCCTATCCACACTGTTTTGAGTGTCTGTTTTGAATTTCTAGCCGTTTATGTTTATTACATCATTGTTCTTTACCATGTTTTCTTCTTTTTTCAAACATCATCTCATAAAACATTCGTCGAGGGCTCGGGTTGAAAAGGCACATATCTTTGATGACTGTGAAACCATCAGCGAATGGGTTTCGCCAGGGTTGCTGGGAATAGGCTAGATTTCTGAATGGGGACCAGTCCTTGGGTAATGGCGTGCTGATAGATTGAAAATGTCTAGAGTTATATAATACAGTATATTTCCAACAACACAAACGCTGTTGGCATCAGGCAGCTTGGACCGTGAGATCATGGTCTTCTGAATATCCATAACTCTATATGGCTGGCCCCTGTCTAGGTCGCTAGAAAGACCGCTGTAGACCCGCTGTAAGCCGATGGTCGAGGCCTAAGGCGGCGCCGGAAAATCTGTTGTGCCGGGCCCAAACGGCCCCAGAAAACATATGGGGTTGCTCCAATTCGCCTGACGGTCAGGTCAGCAAGCCAGTCGGCTATTCCAGTAGCTGGGATTGGGCTTGCGCCTATGCGTATGGAGAGCGTAGATGCTCTTAGAAGCTCTTGGATTTTTCTTCGGCAACCCGCAAAAAAACCTTCCGGCCGGCTGGCGCAAAAGCAGCTTTAACACTTCTTCTCTCTCGTCATCCCCTCAATTCGTAACGTACAACCGCTACCCCGGATTCAGACCTCTTGCCAATTTGCCTCTTCTCGACCGGTATTTCCTTTTCTTACTCTCACACAGCTCTTTCGACACACCCAAACCTCCACAATGGTGAGTAAACAACAGCACCTCCCAACTGCTTCGGCACAACCTCTCGTTCGCGGGCAGTGCTGTTAGGCCGAGCCACGCGAACCGGCCATGCCCCCTTTCCACAAGAGCAAGTTTTAACAGTTGTCCTCTTTCCCCCCTCCCAGTCTGGCCTCCGCTCGATCAAGTCCCTCGTCCCCCTCCTGGACCGCGTGCTGGTGCAGCGCGCCAAGTCCGAGACCAAGACCGCCAGCGGCATCTTCTTGCCCGAGTCGAGTGTCAAGGACCTCAACGAGGCGCACGTTCTGGCCGTCGGCCCCGGCAACCTCGACAAGGACGGCAAGCGGACGCCCATGGGCGTTGCCGCCGGCGACAAGGTCCTGATCCCGCAATACGGCGGCAGCCCGATCAAGGTGGGCGACGAGGAGTACCACCTGTTCCGCGACAGCGAGTAAGTCACACCGGGAGATTCGAACGAGAAAGACATGAGGGATACCGACAGAGCGTGCTGACCAATTCTAGGATCCTTGCCAAGATCAACGAGTAAAACACGTTGTTCTAGCCCGAGATCCACACCATATACAAATTCCATAAAAAAAATTACCAAAGAAAAGAAGGCATGGTCACGCTCGCCCTATTTTCGAGACCAAAAAAAAAAAGAAAGAAACAAAAGAAAAGAAAAAAACAAGCGGCTCTCTGTGCTCACGGACTTGAGCGCTTCAGGGCGTTGGAGTGATGAGGTCGTCGTATCAGAAAGGACCAAGGCGAGAAGAACGGTCGAGGGAGAGGCTGTCCACCCGTATGTGGTCTGGATCTCCTCAATCCCTTTTGTCCGCCCTGCTTTGTCTCTTCTTGTGCATGGCCCTGCTTCCACTCTCGCTTGAACACCATTTGTACCAACATATTAAAAAACATTACAAAATACGGACCCTCTCTACCTAAAGGACTATACAAAAAGGACAGCGAATAGGGAGGGAACATGATGTGAATGAAAGATTTATGCCCACCTTTTTTGCCTGCTTTTTGTACAACCATATCATGTATTGAATAGAAGCGCAGCGGAAGAGGGGACGAAAAGCGAACAAGCCCAGTTTCAAAGACGGGGACGAATTTTAGATAGAAAACAAATCCATCTCCACTCACACATTCGAGTACAGCAACCAGTCGACTGTCTCTGAGGATGCATCGATTAGACAGGAAGGTTTTAAAAAGGTAGTTTCTGTCCGACCCGAGGCACGCCAGCATCCTTCCTGGGCGCGTCTATTTTACAATCCCGGCCAACCAACCAAATGCGGCCTGCCGTTTCGAATAGATGAAGACAACCTGACATTCAGCTACAGCGTTTCGCCCATGGCTAGCGGTGCCCAGAAGAGAACCTGCCGTCCCTATACTGTACGTATACAATTCGGCGAAACCTACAGACGAAATGGGTCTCTCGGTAGATGTAAACGACCAATATTTATGCCTGCCGCTTGACTTTTGCCTTCCTCACTATATGTGATGTACCTGCATGGTGATTATCCATGTCCAAGTTCTCTTTTCCTCGACGTTTACATCTTAAATCTGGTGCTCGGTTATCCTGGAGTGAGAGGAAACTCTATTTGATTTTCCCGGGACCTGGGCGCTTCTTGCTTTTCAGGTCATGATTTTATCCCGCCTCATGAAAGCGGCACTTGAAAGGTAAAATCTTAAACGTAGATCCTCCGCTGTAGTCCGACATGGGCTGTATTGGTTTGCACTCCCTGGTTTCTGTCTGCATCCCTTTTAACCCGTTTACCAGCATTGAGTCTTCCCCGATGGTTGGTTTACTTTATCCGCTACTTCCATGTTGTCGACGGGTATAATTGTCGTTTCGACTTAACTGCCGTGCCCCTACACAAACATCCTCAGCTCATTTATGTTCACAACCTCCAAAGCAGATAGCGTCATCTTGGCACCCCATTTCATAAATAGGCACGTGGAGGGTCTTCGCCATGAGAGTTATATTTGCGGTTATGAACATGCAAGGGGTTACGACGCCCATGTTTATTTTGCGACAAAGTGTGTGAAGCTGATCTCAGTCCAGTCTTTTCTCGCCACATACGTGGGCCGTGTTGTGCATCCTGTGTCTCCGTACTAATACTGTCTGTGGTGTCTTCTTCCCTTGGTGGAGCATCTGTGGTAGTCAGAATCGTGTATATTTTTGTGCTCTTACCCCCTGATTGTGGAACATCGCTCTCTCCTGTCCTCAGAAAGAGACTCGGGACACGCTTAAGGACGTCGACGCACAAGCACGCCGCGTTTTACGTAGCGCACCTGGCATACATTAACTTGCCTATGCTTTTACATCCCAGCCGACGAGAACTGATAAACTTTCTGTCACAATCCATGTACCTGTTCCACATATGGCGTAATGGATCGTATCCCCTCTCCTCTCAAGCAACAGCTGCGGGTAACCAAGAATTCGCAAATCATGGATCAACGGTCTACAGAAGGACGCAGGTCTGAACAATTTGGCGCACAAAGGCGCAGAATATTTTATTTGACACGACAGCGGCCGCCGTGACGATTCGGAAATTTGGTGCCTGGGTGCTACAGGTGCGAGTGTGCAGACGGTTGGCCAAAGTCGTCAGCCGTTGTTCGTGGGCGTCTACGAAGCAACCAACATAATATAGAGATGGTTCGAAGCGGTATATAACAAGTCGTTCCCGCCCCCTTTCAATTCGTTTCGTCGTCCTTATCATCGCTTTGAGTCTGGAAACTCTCAGATAAATTTTTCTTCGATGTTCTTTCTTCAGTGTCGTTCCTTTTTCTCCCTTTGATTGTGGCCAGCTCTGAGCAGCGCTTATCTTCACTCCTTTATTCACGCATTATTTCATTCATACACTTGTTCACTCACTCTGACTTTGTTCACAACACTCACTCTGATTTATAAACGTCTTCACACCTCTCCATTTTTTGTCATTCATTTGCCATTTTCTCCAAGTAGTCCGACTGTCGCCCAAAGTGTCAAGGCTCAGTCACGTTGTTGAATCTTGAAATCACGAGACCTGGTGAGCAAACGAAATAAACAAACAACAGAAACAACCGATAAACCTTCTCAAAGCCCTTCATCACCACGACATCAACAGAGCCTCAATAGGACCCCTCGAAACACGTCGCCGCAATGCCCAAACTCAACACCCTTGCCTTGGCCGTGGCCGTAGCTTTCGCCACGACTGCCACGGCACACACTTCCTTCACGACACTCTTTGTCAATGGTGTCGACCAGGGCGACGGCACCTGTGTCCGTCAGCCGACCGACCCCCAGACCTCAACGTTCCCCGTCGAGGACCTGGCCAGCTCAGACATGATTTGTGGTAAGTATACTTTTGGCATTTGCTATAAATTATGGACGATGAATCAACAAAAGCTAACGTGTGTGTCTTTCTACAGGCCGAAATGGGCTCGCTTCCGTCGCGTTTACCTGCCCCGTCGGCGCCGGCTCGACGCTGACATTTGAGTTCCGTGAAAACCCAGACGGCTCTGCTCCGGGTGCCATCGACAAGTCACACAAAGGTCCCTGTGCTGTCTACCTCCGGCAGGTGTCCGATATGGCGTCCGAGACGCCCGCCTCCTCGACTGGCTGGTTCAAGATTTACGAGGACGGCTACGACAACAGCACGGATCAGTGGTGCACCGAGAAGCTCATAACCACCAACGGCCTTCTCTCGGTGGCGCTCCCAAGCGGCCTGCCTGCGGGTGCATACCTTGTTCGGCCGGAGCTGCTGGCCCTGCACGAGGCACAAAAGGGCGATCCGCAGTTTTATGTCGGGTGCGCCCAGATCTTTGTGGCGGGGACAAGCAGCGGGCAGCTGCTCACGATCCCCGAGGGCCACGAGGCCACCATTCCTGGCCATGTCAAGGCGGGCGACCCGTCCGTCACGTTCAACATTTACACGCCCGCCTTCCCGTACCCGATGCCTGGCCCGGCGGTGTTTTTCCCGATGGCCGACGACGCGTCCGACGCAAAGGCCAACGCAGCCGGCAACAACCGGATCGATGCCTCGTCCTCGTCCTCTTGCTCAGCATCGTCCAAGTCCAACAAATTGGCCGTGGCAGCCCAGCATGCCGGCGTCGCTTTTGTGCCAAGCGCGTGCCTCATCAAGAATGCCAACTGGTGCGGCGTCGAGGTGCCGAGCTACACGACCGAGGCCGGATGCTGGGATGCCTCTGAGAACTGCTTCCACCAGGAGGCGGCGTGCTACAGCAGCGCCCCGCCGTCGGGCGACGCCAACTGCGACGTGTGGGACAAGAAATGCACGGCGATTCAGGCGGCATGCGGTGCGGGGAGCTTTGTCGGCCCGCCGAATGCCGGCCAACCGTTGCAGCAAGTGGAGGCGGCCGTGCCTGGTCCGATCCCAGGGGCAGAGCGGCGGAAGAGACGGTAACGGGTCGTGGCCTGGGAGTGGTTGAATCGTGTGAGGGGGGTGGATATCATAACCTTTCGCTAGAGTATGCTTCACGCGTAAATGTCAAATATATATATATGTAAGACGCGTCAGTTACAAACAGTCGAGCTCCTTGTCGAATAGTAAATAATGTCGTAACGTGTTCATCCTGCGCCCGCGTATCCCGGGACCGAACCGGTCTCGTCGTCGCGCTCGTGATCTCTCTCGCCTTGCTGACCATTCACGGCTCTCTCGTTCGTGAAATTTTGTTGTCAATAGTAAAGCACGATCGACGAATCATGCAGGGCACCCGAGCCTTTACACATCTTCCGGGCGCTCGATACTCTCGGTCCATACTACAGCCAGTGTCGTCTCCGTCGTTTGGCGTTTTGGGTTGGGACATCAAGGCGAAGAGAACGTAGCTCTAGTTAGTACGGTCATGTGACTGTCGGTGCGGCATCTCGTCTCCTCCAAATGACGCTTCGTAGCACCGACGAGCGAAACTAGTCAATCACGCAATCGCCAACGGACCAATCGCAGCGCGCGACGGACCGACCTCTGCCGTTTTCCAGCATCAAGTTCGCTCGCTGGCATACTTTTATGCTTGTTTCTCCCCCAGATTTTCCTGTGGTTCTCATTTCAACTCTCTTCTGTCATTCTCTGTTCTCCTCTTTTTACCCGTTTCGACATTTTGGACCTCATTTCATCATTTTGGCCCCTACGAAGATTTTGCACTGACCAAACCCTTGCACCCCATCGACAGAACAGTCCCAACCTGCTAGACACTGTGGAGACGACAAGACGACGCCAGCGAGATGGGAAACGTGGAAAGCGACAAGGCCTTGCCAGGCAAATCGTGCACGGTCATTGGTGGCAGCAGACGACATGGCATGAGTCGAGAGAATGAAAAATTATATTGCATGTTGCCAACGATGAAGATCAAAAACAGCTAAGTCAACGCATCTCCTTCTGTCGACATTCTGCCTCTCGTCCATTATTATTCCAAGATGTGGTCACATCCCTTCTCTTCTCCGTCTCTTCTCTCATCAGTCATGTCATGGACAAAAACAAGAAATCCAAAAAAAAAAAAAATGGGCGGTTGGTGTTGCCGTTCAAGAGTCAGATTCCTTGAGCAGCTTGCCATATGCGCTGTAGTAGCCGCATTTGCTGACGTGTGAGCATTTGCCCGTCTTCTCGTTGAAGACGTTGCAGCCGCCTTTGGCCACGTTGGGAGGCGTGTACACTGGAGAAGAGGGACGGGTCAGCGTCGGTGTACATGGAAACGAAAAAGAGGGAGGAGGGGAAGGGACCTACAGTGCAAGGACACAGCAAAGTCGCTGCCCTTGTTCCAGATCTTGTGGACACCCAGCTCGTCGGCCATGTAGGCGACGGCGTTCTCGTGGTACGTCTTCTCGGACGTGACAGTCATCGGCTTGGGCTCGCTGGTACCGGACGCGTTGTCCTCTGGGAAGGCATAGCGCGTCTCGGTCAGGTCACCGCGCAGGATCTTCATGAGGCAGTGGGCGTTGCCGTGGTCGTGGATGGGGCTGCCCTTGCCCGGGGACCAGACCAGCACGAGCAGATTGCTCTTGCCGTTGCCCTCGTCAACTAGGTTGCGAGTGTAGCCGCGGCTGGCGTCGCCAAAGTTGTACGGCATCCAGCCTTCGTCGCTGGCATCGTACTCCTCCATGAGGCGTCTTAGGTGGTTGACGTCGACGTCGTCAGACGTCAGGCCAGACGAGGGCCCCAGCGCCTGCTTGAGGGCCTTAACGAGCAGCTCGAAGCGGGACACATCCTCGACGCGATCGTCAGCACGATCGAGCGATGCGGATGCACCGGCATTGACGGGCAGAACACTAATGGCCATCGCGACGGTAATGCGAATCGACGACAATGACAACAGTCGATACAAGCGATACAAATTATGACAAAGAACGACGACGACGATGTGTGATGTCGACAACGACAAGGGATGTTGTTCAGAGGATGAAAGAGATGGGCGTCGGGATGCTAGGATGCGTCTTAGGATGGATGGGCTCTAGGGAATTGGAGGATGAAGGATGATTAGGACACGTCGACAGGACGATGGGGTGGGGGAGATGAGGGTTGGATGAGGGCTGGACAACGCCTCTTTATGTCGACGACAAAGTCTCGCTCAAGTGAGGGGGAAATGGTCGTCGCCTGACGCGGAATGGGCAGTGCCGGACAGTACAAGCGTACAGTGCAGGGACAGGGAAGGTGGGAAGAGGGCGGATGGGGAAAAGGATGTCCGCGTGAGACGGAAATCGAAAGCAACGACAGAAGGAATCAGAAAAAAGAGTGAGAGAAAGAGGCGGCGTCAGATGACTTGACCGAACGACTTGTCGAACGACCTGGCTCTAGTTCGCTCTTGCTGTTGTGGTGCAACTGCCTGGCTCCTTCTTCTTTTGGCCTTTCCTCGTGTTGGATGATGGCCGGCAACGACGACAGACAGCAGACTGTGTCGTTCGTTCTCAATGGTCAAAGGAATGAAACCGTCGTCAATCAAAGACAACGAAGGGACGAAAAACGAAAACAAAACGAAAGGAAAAGCCGACCTCGGGTTTGGGGGGCTTCGCCGACTGCCGGCCGTGGATAGGAGAGACGCGGGTTGCAAGGCGCAGAAACGGTTGGAGGGGCCGACTGCAGCATCGGCTTCACTCAGGCTCGGTGCGTCGTGTTGCCGTTGCTATTGGACGGCCCGACGTGGGCGAGCGTGGGTGTCGGCGTGGGATATTGGGCGACGAGTGGATCTTCTCCTCGGATGTTCTCCTGGTTCGCCAATGGCGGTGGACTCTGGATGCGAACGGGGGGTATGGATGCGTCGTGCAGGTCGTGCAGGTCGTGCAGCATGATAGAGGAAGCGGCGGGATACTCGAGAGCACAGAATTGAAAAGTAAAACTGTCCTTTTTTCCAGGTGTTTCTATGTCATTGTTGTGCGTACTTTAGTGGCACTTCTGCGAGGCAAGTTGTCGTGGAAAAGTCGAAGAGACTGGCGCTGGGACGCATTGGTGCTTTTTCAGTGGCCATTTTTGGGCCGTTTGGGAACCTCTGTGAGTGGGGAGGCGGCTAAGACTTTAGTGGCCTTGAGCAAGTTCTGTGCAAAGATAAGAAAGAAAACGGTGCTTCGTATAAGTTTCTCATTTTTGGCCGCTGTGGGAAGGCGGTAGCGTCGGCGGCAGACAAAGGTGAAGAATGAAGTCACGCACCGGCAGCACACCGGTGCTTGGGAACAGGCTGGCGGGGTCCTGGAACGGTAAGGCCGAGCGTACGTACGAATACGTAAAGAGTGAAAAATGCAGTCAGAGTCTCAGCGAGTGAGCGCTGACGGCTAGTACCGGAGGGCCAGAAAGTGTGAATTACAGCCAACCATAGGGCGCGGGCACTGTGCGGCACTGCATGGTGGACCCCAAGAGATGCCCCCATGGGCCAACGATCCAATGGACGGCGACAACTCACGAATGCGAGTAGTGGTGGCTTTTGACGCCCCCAAAGATTGCCATTGTTATAGCTTTGGTCACCTGCCACGATACATCACGGTCCCTAGCTTCTCGTGACGTAACAAGAAGATGCATAGTTGGGGGGCTGGACGTCGTGTTGTCGAACAAAATGGGGAGACGGCTCTTTTATATTATGCGAAAGCAAACGAGGCTCTCCGTTTTCGGCGAGTGGCCTGAAATGAAGCCAGGCCAATACGAGAAACGCCAGAATCCGACAATCAGGCCACAATCGCCTCAGCCCTGCCCAGAGCAGAGCCTTGCCGGGCCAGGGTTTTGTTCAAACCGTGCCGTGCTGCAGTCGCCGGGCTGTACCTGACAGAATAAGACTCCACGATCTATGCCTAGGAAGGAACATGCGACTCCCGTTTCTTTAAAAAAAAACCCCCCCTTCGAAACAGTCCATCTGTCGGCATCGGCCAACGGTCGAGGCTCGTTTGAGTCATGTACTGTTGGAACGGGGCGTTCTCTGTCTCGTGTTTTTAGGCTTGCCATTAGTCATACTCAAAGTTTTGGACAGTTTTGGACAGTTTTGGCATGTTACCGGGCCGTCTACCAACGGCACCGAGAACCGCCTGTTAAATCTTGTCAGGAAGGTGCGCTTAACGAAGGTGCGATTTAAGTCGCAGTGAGACCAGACCGTTTGGAAGGGGGAAATCTCGGCAACGTGGGCGGCGAAAGAAACACCAGGCGGAGTGTGCTCTTTCCTTCCCCGACTATTTCAACTTGTTGCATGCCGATCACGCTAGGAAAAAAAAGAAGGGCAAAAAATTATCGAGAACACGAAAATGGGTTGGGGAAAGAGCTATGCGGCCTGCTTAAGCGCAGCAGCGCCAGCCGTGATTGGCGGAAAGGACGGCTTGCCTGCAGCAATGGTTCTTGTTTGCTCCCTTGATGCCGATTTCCTGTTTCTGCGGTGGAATAAGAGGAGGCGAACCCCGTATATGTGCTTCTCATGCTCTTGGGCTTGACCTCCCTCGATGCCATCTGGCGGTATTTTCTATCCAATCTACCCATTATCGTGACTAGTGGTGCTCGTACTTCGACCATCCGTGGGACGTTTTTTGGCCCTGTCTCCGTCTCATTCAATCCCTGCCGACATCGTTATATCGACATGTCTGCATTAATACCTGAGTTCTCGACGGCCTCCCCTGATGGCAGTGGCATCTTCTTCCACACTCTACGCCAGGCCAACGCCAGCGAGGAGAACGTGGACACCTCCGACCATGTGAACAACACATCGTGCTCTGCAGGCACCACTGCAGATGCTGCACCCACCTTGCGCGAGAGTGACCCCGAGAAGGACGCCGAAAGCAGCCCAGCCGTTCCGGTCGTCAGCAACATCTCCTCCCACGACACGATCAATGCCAGCGCCGAGAATGGTTCCCACCCCGTCAGCCGCAGCCACAGCAATGCCGTGGCAGAACTGCCGACAGCAAACACACCTTGCGCCGGCGCCGGCGACAGCGACATTCGGATCCTGCCCTGCGGCGCCGTCGTCGCCACCAACGAGAGGGAAAATCGTGGCTGGCGCAAAATTGTGCGCAACTTTACGCCGTCGTGGTTCTCTGTGTGCATGGGCACGGGCGTCGTCGCCATCTTGCTGCACAACCTGCCGTACAACGCCCACTGGGTGTGGTACCTTTCCGTTGCCGTCTTCTGCCTCAACATTCTGCTGTTCATCACCTTTTCGCTCATCACGATTACGCGCTACGTCGTGTATCCGGAGATTTGGAATGTCATGATTAAGCACCCGTCCCAGTCGCTCTTCCTAGGGTGCATTCCCATGGCCTTTTCGAGTGCGTATGCCCTTGACGCTTCTGTCTGTGCTGTCACACATCACCTGCTAACAAGCACAGCCATTGTCACAATGATGGCCCTCGTCTGCACAACATGGGGCAACTGGGCAATCTATCTGATCTGGGCGTTTTGGTGGGTCGACGTCTTTGGCTCCTGCGCCTGCAGCCTGATTATTCCTTTTGTGATGTGAGTTGCCCGCTCCTCAGCCATGGCCATGTCTTGTCGTCTGTCTTGTCGTCTGTCTTCTCGTTTCTAACAGCACCAGTATCCATCACCATCGCAATCAGCTCTCTCACATGACCGCTGCCTTACTCCTGCCTGTCGTGCCTGTCATTGTCGCGGCTGCCTCTGGCAGCGTGATTGCCGAGGCCCTGCCGAACCGCTCGCACCAACTCACCACCCTGGTCCTCTCCTACATCATCTGGGGCCTCGGCGAGACCTTCTCCTTCTTTATCATGACGGTGTACTTTCTGCGCCTGCAAATCCACGACCTGCCGCCGCGCGAAGTTATTGTGTCCGTCTTCCTACCCATCGGTCCGCTGGGCCAGGGCGGCTTTGCGATCCAGCAGCTCGGCAAGCTCGCCATGCAGGTTCTGCCCGCCACCGGCGCGTTCAACGGCGCCATCCCTGACGGCACCAGCCCCAATGCCCTCGATGCCACCGCCCTGTACGGCCCCACCGTGCTCTACATGATTGGAATCCTCGCCGGGTTCTTTTTGTGGGGCGCCGCTCTCGGCTGGCTGGCGTTTGCCATCATCTCCATCATGACCACCAAGTCGTTCCCCTTCAACATGGGCTGGTGGGGCTTTGTCTTCCCGCTCGGCGTCTTTACGAGCTGCACAGGCGTGCTGGCCGTAGAGCTGTCGAGCACCTTTTTCAAGGTCATCACCATGATCTTCTCAGCCCTGGTGTTTTGCCTGTGGATTCTCGTGGCCGTCAAAACCACCATCATGGTCTACCGCGGCAACATGTTTTATGCGCCGTGCCTGCGCGATCTGCACCCCAAGGAGGAGCAGCCGGGCGGCAAACGAACGGTGTAGGCCCGACTCGCCCTGCCGTTCATCAGCAGTTTTCGTCGATTTATTGTTCGCGCATTTAAAACACATTTTGCCAACAGCCTTTAAGGCACACAGCGTTTGTTTTTTTCGTTCGTTCTGTTTTATGTTTCGGTTTTCTTTTCATGATTTGACACTTGCATGAGGAGCATTGTCGTTGAAAAGTGCATTTTTATACCATGATAGACCTGATAGCCTTGGCCATTTTTTACGTTAATATTTAATGATTCAACATGACACCACACATCAATGCGCAGAGCTCTGCCGATGCACTGAATACCACCTGGAGAGACTTGCCGCATTTGACTTACACGGAGATTGGCGCTTTACATAAGGGATATAGTGGGCCTAACATATGTGGGGCGCGGTCTACAGGGCCCTTGAATGACTAACTTTGGACGGGTTTGGCGAATTGTGAGGGGTTCTATGACAATCGGTGTTGCACTACAAAATTTCCTCCGCATTTAGCCTCTCACCAAAAAAAAGTGTCAACTCAAAAAAGAAGCCGTGGACATTGCCAATGTCGCGCTTCACGGCAGTTTGAGCCAGACCGCGAACACCGCAAATCGCCCCGAACTGAGTCGCTTTTGCGCTCCTCCCAACACACCATGGCCTCGACTTCCCGGGCGAGCAGCCCGTTCATACGAGATTTGCTCATTGGTAAGCACGAGGCTATTCCTATTACCACGACTTTCCCCAAGGACACACACTGACAAATATTGTTTCTAGTGGTCGTCGACGCATGGCACGCCTACCGCATTCCCATTCTTCTGGCCACGTTTGCTGCCCTCGTCTCGCTGCGCATCTACCTGCACGTGGCCGGCTCAGGTGACGATAGGGAAGGTCTGCTCATCTTCCCCAAGATCTACGACAACACGACCGTCGTCGACGAGAAGAAGAAGCTGCAGCAACAAGAACAGCCGCCGTCGGTCCAAGAGGACGTCAAAATCGCCGTGCTCCAGCAGACCAAGACCATCTCCTACCCCGGCTCCACGAGCGACAAGAAGACGATCACCCCGACCGCGACCAAGAAATCCTCAACTGCCAAGACGGCGAATGCGACCACTCCTTCCTCCACGACCACCAAGGCTGCGGCTGGCCCGCGCCGTATCAAGGGCGAGCTTCCAAAGGGCAACGGTGCCGCTGCTGTCGCTCGCGTGCCCACGCGCATCCAGACAATTGTCTTTTACTCGTCCATAACGGGTGCCACGGCCAAGATTGTGCGTGACTATGCCACCGAGCTGAGCACTACGCTGGGCGAACTGAAGCCGGAAGGTGGCAGCGACAGCAAGGGCAACGTCTTTGCGCCCGTTGAGGTTCTGGACATTGCCGAGGTAGACCTGGACGAATACTTTATCTCGCCGCCCAAGGATGCCTCCGACGCCGCCTCTGGCCGAACCACCGACTACCTGTACCTCTTCCTCCTCCCCAGCTACAACATTGACTCCATCAACGACACCTTCCTTGAGCACCTCAAGGAGACACACCATGACTTCCGCATCGACACCGCACCGCTCGCGCCCCTCCTGGGCTACTCCGTATTTGGCTTTGGCGACCGCGAAGGCTGGCCCACCGAGGACGAGGGCTTTTGCTTCCAGGCCAAGGAGGTCGACAAGTGGATGGCCAAGCTGACAGGTCGCAAGCGTGCCTTTCCCATGGGCGTCGGAAACACGAAGACGGACGCCATGCTGCGGCTGGCCGAGTGGTCCGAGGGCGTTGTCGACGTCCTGGGCCTTGTCGCCCGCACGGGCAGTCTCGGCACTGGTGTGCGGGGATCGGGCGATGCCGTCGAGACGGACGATGAGGACGAGGATGAGGCGAGCGACGACGGTAGCGATGCCTACGACGACGGCAGCAACGACGATGACGGCGCTGCTGATGCCAACGGCGCGGCCTACGACAACGACGACGTCCTGTTTGGCGGCAATGCGGCGCGCAATGCCAACGTCAAACGGCTGAAGAAGGCCGGCGTCATCGACGACGTCGAGGACCTGGGCCGCCTGCTGCGGAGCTCCAAAGAGGACGACGCTGTTGATGACACTGCGGTTGACGACGTCGCCGAGGTGCCTGGCACCAACGTCAACAAGGCACCCATTGCCATCGACTTTACGACATACGGCGCGAATGATAGCAGCACCACCAACGGTGGTCCGCGTCGCACCGGCCGGAAAGCGGCTGCCCCTGCACCAAAGGAAATGGTCGCCAAGGATACACCGACATACAAGTCTCTTACCAAACAGGGCTACGCTATTGTCGGCTCGCACTCGGGCGTCAAGATCTGCCGCTGGACCAAGTCCGCCCTCCGTGGCCGCGGCTCCTGCTACAAGTACTCCTTCTACGGTATCAACTCTCACCAGTGCATGGAGACCACCCCCTCGCTCTCGTGCTCCAACAAATGCGTCTTCTGCTGGCGCCACGGCACCAACCCCGTCGGCACCACCTGGCGCTGGGTCGTCGACCCGCCCGACCTCATCTTTGACGGCGTCAAGGCCAACCACTACCAAAAGATCAAGATGATGCGCGGCGTGCCTGGCGTGCGCGCCGAGCGGTTTGCCGAGGCCATGCGCATCCGCCACTGTGCACTGTCGCTCGTTGGCGAGCCCATCTTCTACCCGCACATTAACGAGTTCCTGGGCATGCTGCACAGCGAAAACATCTCGTCGTTCCTCGTCTGCAACGCCCAACATCCGGACCAGCTCGCCGCCCTCCACCACGTCACCCAGCTCTACGTGTCCATTGACGCCTCCAACCGCGAGACGCTGCGCAAGATCGACCGTCCGCTGCACCGCGACTTTTGGGAGCGCTTCCAGCGCTGCCTCGCCATCCTGCGCGAGGTCCGCTTCCGCCAACGGACCGTGTTCCGCCTGACCCTCGTCAAGGGGTTCAACATTGACGACGAGGTGCAGGGCTACGCCGACCTGGTCGAGCAGGCGCTGCCCTGTTTTGTCGAGGTCAAGGGCGTCACCTTCTGCGGCACCTCGACGTCCGCCGGCGTCGGCCTCACCATGGCCAACGTGCCCTTTTACGACGAGGTGTGCGAGTTTGTGACGGCCCTCGAGAAGGAGCTGCAGAGCCGCGGCCTCGCCTACGGCCTGGCCGCCGAGCACGCCCACAGCTGCTGCGTGCTGCTGGCGAGCGAGCGTTTCAAGCGCGACGGCAAGTGGCACACCGTCATTGACTACGACAAGTTCTTTGCGCTGCTGCGCGAAAAGGGCCCCCAGGGCGACTTTGCACCCGAGGACTACATGGGCCCGCCGACGGCCGAGTGGGCCACCTGGGGCCGGGGCGGCTTTGACCCACGCGACCAACGTGTCGACCGCAAGGGACGGCCCATTGAGCGGTAGAAGACGTGGTGCAGCACGTGCTGGGTTCTGGAACTTGGTATCCATTAGGCTGTGTCGTCATTTAGCAATACAACAGAAAACTTGAATGTCCCGTTCTATTCATATATCAACTTCTCTGTCTCTCTCAGTGTGACACTTTCGCACTCGCGTTTTATAAATGAATTTTTATTTGGATATCTCCCATCTAAATAGTGACCGCTTCCATGCAACCCAAAGTGTGCCCCCAAGACTTGAAAGAAAAGGGCGCAGTAATAATGTCCGAATCAAAAAGGAGGAACGGACGACGTACCAAAATAAATAGGGAGTTGAACAGATGAACAAAAACCAAAAGACACCAAATTCCATAAAAACAGCAGATCATCAACGGGAACAAATGACATCGACACAGCAGAACCGTCCGTTTTGATGCAACAGACTCGTCATACCATTCAATGCCCTCATTCTTGTAACACGCCAATAAGAGAAAGAGACGCCTCCTACCGTAATTTCGTGTTTCTTGCTTCCTTTTTTGTCGTCGTCCATAACAACGAGGTGGTTGCCAGCGAGGGCAAAATGCCTCCTTGACATATGCTTTGCGCGGTGTATATAATGAGTGGAGCGGGTGGTCGATGAACCATGATGAAAAGTTCGTGTTGATAAAACCGTGTATGTGCAGATTGCGTGTATATCTTGCATGCTAGATGACGGTCATGCAGAGTGGTAAGGGAGGGAGCTACGTTCTCTCAAGAACACGCTTAATCGAGGCCGACGGTCGGGGGGAAGAGGTCCGCCGGGTTCGCCGGCGCCATGTCGCGGATGTTCAGTTCCGAGTCAACGGCAATCATCTCGGCAAGGACGTCGAGGATGGGCTGGAGAGGGGTGTTGTTAGTTGGCAGAGACCTTCTTCCATACAAACCAAGGGGGGGTCTTCGTACCTTGGACACTGTCTGGTCGTAGATGCGAATCAGATCGCCGGGCGTCGGGTACACTTTGAGTGCCTTGTAGAAGTGGAGGGCCGACTCAACGGCTTGCGAAGCTAAAAGAACGTGTCAGCTGTACTGTGTCTATCATATGCGAGCGAGACCATTCATCCTGTTCAAAAAAAAAAAAAGACTTACGATCGCTGCCCAGGGCCTCGCCCTTGGACACCTGGTCCAGAAAGAACGCCTCCTTCTCCTCCACGCTCGTCGGGAAGCCCTCAGCCTTGGCCATCCCAACAGCCAGCTTGATCACCTCGCGCTGTTTAACGGTCTCCTGCTGGGCGAGCTCCTTCTCGGCACGGGCCTGCCGCCGCTCGTTTCTCCGGAGATCGCGGCGGAACTCGGGCTGCGTGCGTCTGCGGTGGTCGAAGTAGATTGCGTAGGCTGGAAAACGTTAACCACGGGTCAAAGTACGGTGGCCAATGCCAGAGCCAGGGGACAAAGCAATCGCATGGCCGTGAGGAAGCGAGGGAGTCCAACTCACCAACAAGACCCGTTGCTACTGCGGCAACAGAGGCCGTTGCAATAATTGATTGCTGCGACATTGTGGCGTGTGTGTATGTGGAAGAGGGGGAAAGTCTGGGCGCGCCCGAGTGCAACTATATGTGTCGTGACGTGCCGTTGGAGAAAAATAGAGAAGCAACGAAAATTTGATTCGGGGCGTCGGCGGTTGTCCTGAATCTTCCGAGTTCGATAGCCGTGTGGGGAGAGCAGTCGACGTACGTTGGTTTCCGTCTGAAGACTGGTTTAAATGCGTCGTGTGTCTGCTGCTTTACGGGTTGTGTCGTCAAGGCCTCGTGCGGCTACCTCTGTTTGTTGCTCAGAACTGCCCTTTCGGTGGCTATCGTAATGATGAGGTTCCTGATTTTTTTTTTCTTTTCGGTCTTTCACCAAATGCCCATCTCCCACCTGCTTTTTTAGTGGTTCCCTGAAAATGGCCCTAGCCTCGAGCCTGGTTGGTCGTGCACGCAGGTGGCGGTATCGTTTTGGGGGGCTCCTTCCCGCTATTACCCACTGTAAATACGTCGTAATACAGCGCGCAAGAAGCAGCTTCCAGGCTGCTGATTGGCCAATCACGTTGAGCAGGAATCACAGCCCGCCAATAGTGGGAATGTGCACGTGATCCTCACTAAAGTACCCACCGAAACGCGGGCAGTCTCCTTATGGGAGGAACCTGGAGCTGTCGACGTAACTCGAAACATCAGGACTCGAAGGTACGTGCAAGCCACGACAGCCGGTTACGAAACACACGCCCGACCCCAAGGCTTCGTTACTCATTCAACTACACGCCCGTATCCGAAAGACTGCCACTACCGATTCACACAAAAGTTACTGTGGCTGGACTACAGTTGCGTGTAATCAAGACGCAGAGATACCAGAGGCCTGGCCCCGTTTCAGACGACGCCTCCCTGATGGCCAACATCGAGACGTGACGAGATCAACAACTCTCACGCACACACTGTGGGGGTACCCAGACAATACGCCAGATACACACATACTACACAGTTGTCGCAAACAGAATCCGCAGCCATGTCGGAAGACAGGCTCAAGATCTCGCTTCGCAGCGGCCCGAAGCGGAACAAAAGCGCCCGCCCTGTCATCAGCGCGCCGAGGCAAATCTCAGCACCAATTGGGCCTGCCACCCAGAACAGCTTGCCCCTACCACGCAATGATGGCCCGCGGCCGACCGGTGGCGGCGACGCTCCGATATCACGGCCAAAGCTACCCCAGCAGCCCGGAGGAAAGGTATGCCGCGCCCGTTTCCACAATCTGATGACCCTGTGATGCTGGTTCTAACGCTCTGCTTCAGACGTCAGATTATATCAAGCGACGCTACTCCGCACGCTTCAACGACTTGCCCAAGAACGAGTTCGCACCCCCAGTACCGTCCTTGCCATCCTTCAACCAGTATGAGTCGGCCGCCAGACGGCCAGGAGCGGGTGGTGCCAATATGCCGATTCAGCGCGGTGGGGACGACCGAGGGGGCCGTGGTGGTAGTGGGGGCGGTGGCTCAGGAGCGCCGATACCCGTGGACGTCAAAGCGCTGCGTGACCCCAAGCTCAGCCCAGACCAGTATGTGGCGTCGATGCTGAGCGATGCGTCCGACGAGGACATCGCTCGCTATGAGGAGGCACTACGAGATTTGCGGTCACGGGCGGCCGGCGATTTGCAGCAAAACATCTACCAAAACCGGGCCCAGTTCATCAAGATTAGCAAAGAGGCTGAGAAGCTCAAGGGCGAGATGCGCTCGCTGCGCAACCTGATGGCTGAGCTCAAGTCCAACACGACCGCTCTGCGCTCCGCCTCGTCGACATCCATATCCAACCAGTCCTCGTCTGGCGGTGACGGCGGTCGTGGTGGTGCCGACGCAAGCGGTCTCGGTGGCGTTGGTTTTTCCACGGGCCTCAGCAAGCGCGACAAGCGCAGCTCGGTGGCAGATCGGACGGCACTGTGGAACTCGCAGATGCAAGCCCTGTACAAGAACGTCGAGGGCTCACAGCGGTTTCTGCCCATGACACTTGGCCGCCACGTGGTGCAGAATGCCGGCCAGTGGATTGAGTTGGACAATGCCACCTACAAATCACGACGCGCCATGCAAATCTTCTTGCTCAACGACCATCTGCTGGTGGCCTCGCGTAAGAAGCGCAAAGCCGACGGGCCGGGCAGCGGTGGTGGGCCGGTGCTAAAGCTCGTAGCCGACCGCTGCTGGCCCCTGCTGGACATTGAAGTCATTGACATGGCTGGCTCGGGCGAGTCTGTCACGTCGCCGTCGCTTGGAAGCAGCAGTGGCCCCGGCTCCGTGCGGTCCAAACTGACGGATGCCATTATGGTGCGTGGCGTCGGCCAAGAAACGGTGCTCTACCGGACCGAAAAGCCGGACGACCCCGAGAAGTCCGCACTGATGCTCAACATACGCAAGGTGGTTGAAGACCTGCGGCGTGGCATCCAGTCGGAAATGGAGGCCAACAACAAGGCCAAGGAGACAATCAACTACTTTGCGTCGCGTGATCCGGGTCTGTTGCAAAAGACGGACCTTCTCGAGACGCTGTCCGACATCAAAGACATGCTCATTGAAGTCGATGGCAAGCAGCAGAATCTCCGGTGGGTCGAGAGCCAGATGGACGAGCTGGACATTGACATTGCCCTGCAGCAGTTTGAGCCTTCTGTCGCGCGTGTCGAGAAGATGCAGGGGCTGGCGCGGGGGTTGAAGAACAACGCCGTGGCGCAGGACTTTATCGAGTTCAAGGTAGAAGAGCGCTCGGCACGCCTTGCAGCGCTCATCATTCGCGAGTTGATTGACACACACAACGAACAGCGCAAGATGCGCCGCAACGTCTCGTGGTTGACGCGCCTGGGTTTTGAAGACCGGGCGCGCGAAGCCTACCTCGAGGCCCGCAGCAGCATGATCCAGAAGCGGTCCAGGTAAGCCTCTTCTCCTTCCCATTGCTTCCCAATGCCTGTCGATTCTCTCTGCTGACCTTCCAGGCAATGCATCTTCCAAGGCGACCTCCACCTCTACATCTGGGAGCTCTCGTTTGTGTACTTTTCCATTATTCGCAACACCGTCAGCTGCTTCCAGAGCTGCTTCCCACCGCCGATGATGAGTGCGTGCGTCAAGTGGGCCAAGGAGGAGGTCGAGGCCTTCAACCGCATACTGGCGCGGCAGCTGAGCAGCACAGAGCGTGAAGGCGAGGCCTGGCGGAGGTGTATGGACCAGGCACACGAGCACGCCCGCATGCTGTCCGACGTCGGCCTTGACTTCCGCAACCTCGTTGGTCATGAGCCACCCACACGGACACCTGCCGCTCCCAAAGTACCAAGCGGACCAGTTGGTCTTGGCTTGTCGTGATACCACATATTTCTATTTCAATTCCGTGTATTTGGTCGTTTCTTTTCTCCGGACCTTATTTTACATTTCTTCCTTTGCCTCTTTATTTTCTTTCTTGGGCCTACGACCTTTGTACATTTTGGCGTCATTTTCAGAGCAGGTATATCTGTTTTATCAGTGTATGAAAACATGATCCAAGTCTATCATCGTGGAATCAGATGTTGAGCCGGTCGTAAACCAGCTATAGTGATGAGCTTTACTGAGTACAATATGGCGCAGTAGAGCCCGTAGTTGGTGGCAACTGCTATGATGTTCATGTTCCTGACAGCTTTCGCCCCACCACCGCCACCAACTGAGCTTGTCATAGTGTGAGGTACCTCCGCAAACAATATGCGTGTAAGAGTACATACGTTGCCAAAGCACGGGCCCCGTCACGTGCGCCACCCGCCTCCAGGATGGGCGAACAATCCCTAGGAAACTATGAAGTCGGAAAACGCAAAACAAAGCTCGCAATCTCACCGACAGCATCCATACAAGCCTCCCCCCCACCCCTCGCCATCGACCCTCATCACGTTCAGACGACAACCACAACCCCACGACGAAGCCGACCACGCTCATCTCCACCGCGACAGCCTCACTGCGCTCATTGTCCGCCGACACGCGCTCGCTCCATTGCTTGTAGTCCTCTGTATGTGGCCCAAAGTCCTACGAAACGCCATCGCAATCTGCATGGTTCCCAGTGGCAAACCCCCCTCTCAGCCCCCTTTTGATCACCAATCGACCTTTCAACCCCGTCTAACTGGCTCTCGCATCCGAACAGCATTCCAGGACCTGCAAACGTCCATTGCATTGTATTCAGTTTCGCATCGATTGACGCCCCTCGAACGACCTTGACGCTACGCCTAATCAATACCGTCTCTTGATCGACGATACGACAAAAACAAGAACGATTTTCTCATCTTCGCACGCGACCGCGCAGACTCGACGATCCGCGATTGATTTGTTACTACACGCGCGTCATTCTCAATAGTCGTTGCTTCGCCCCAAATCGATACCCCTCCGTCAACCGTCTGCCTAGAAACCATCATGGACACGAATATGGAAGACGTCGGACGCGGTCCCGTAGACCTTACGCCGCCTCCGGCCCTGGAGCCAACGACGGTTCCCACGGTGGACGGCTGGATCGAGAATCTGATGAACTGCAAGCAGCTGAGCGAGCTTGATGTCCAGAGACTGTGCGAGAAGGTGTGTCCCAACGAACGCGGACGCTGCAAACCCCGCGTGCAGATTTTACATCATACTAACAACGACGGGGCAACCAGGCTCGGGAGGTCCTTCAAGACGAGTCCAATGTTCAGCCGGTCAAGTGCCCGGTCACGGTGTGCGGTGATATCCACGGCCAGTTTCATGATCTGATGGAGCTGTTCAAGATTGGCGGCCCGAACCCCGATACCAACTACCTCTTTATGGGTAAGGCTTCCTCCTATCTGGCCTCTCTCTTTTTTTAGGTCTTCTGTTTTTAGGTCTGTTCCAGGTCTCTAATGCCCACCACAGGCGACTACGTCGACCGTGGCTACTACTCCGTCGAGACGGTGACATTGCTGGTAGCTCTCAAGATCCGCTACCCGCAAAGGATCACCATCTTGCGCGGAAACCACGAGTCGCGCCAGATCACGCAGGTGTACGGTTTCTACGACGAGTGCCTGCGTAAGTACGGAAACGCCAGTGTGTGGAAGTACTTTACCGACCTCTTCGACTACCTCCCCCTCACCGCCCTCATCGACAACCAGATCTTCTGCCTTCACGGTGGTCTGTCCCCCAGCATTGACACGCTGGACAACATTCGCGCGCTGGACCGCATCCAGGAGGTGCCCCACGAAGGCCCCATGTGCGATCTTCTGTGGTCTGACCCCGATGACCGCTGTGGCTGGGGCATATCGCCTCGCGGCGCCGGTTACACGTTCGGCCAGGACATTTCCGAAGCCTTCAACCATAACAATGGCTTGACGCTTATCGCTCGTGCACACCAGCTTGTAATGGAAGGCTACAACTGGTCTCAAGATAGAAACGTCGTGACCATCTTCTCCGGTATGTTTTCTGATGGGATTTTAACCTTTCTTTTTCTCCTTTTCTTGCTACGCAAGATGCTAACATCAACAAGCACCAAACTACTGCTACCGCTGCGGTAACCAGGCTGCGATCATGGAGATCGACGAGCATCTGAAATACACATTGTTAGTACCACCGTACTCCTTTTGCATTTGTTTGTGTAGACACGTAGCTAACATCACATTAGCCTGCAATTTGACCCTTGCCCGAGGGCAGGTGAGCCAATGGTCTCCAGACGCACCCCAGACTACTTCTTGTAAATAAAAAAAGAAGAAAGAAACAGTTGGGGTTGTTGCGGGGAGTCTATGCCGGCATAACAGGAGCAGTTGGAAGCGTGCGCATGCAGTGTTATTGGTGTTCGAAACCCGCTTGTACAACCGGTGTTTCTACGTCTCGATTTCTTCTTGTCGCCCGTCGCCCGTTATTTCTTGCCCATATTGTTGCCTGTCTTTTGCCTTCTTTTCCTGGCATTTTTTTTGTCGTTGGATGGATCATTGTGCGAGCAGAAAGTTTTAGACGAGACATCTGGACAGGAAGAAGAACCGATGTTGGAGCTAGGTGGCAACAAGGCACAGTTGCTGTCGGGCAAGAAACGAAGGGGATATGAGAGTTGGGAAGGACGCACAGCTTGCCAGCGCTCTTCATTAATACACTTTGCATGCACTACTTTCAGGTGCTCCATAGACATAATGTTAGTTGCGATGCACAAGATTTTTTTCGGTATTATTTCAATCTCTTATGTCCTGAGGTTAATTGCTAGGTCGGGCGGCTATGTTACGTGCCCTGTCTATACGATATGCAGAGTCAATATCTCTGTCCAAGAATCTAATGAAATGTAAAGAAAAGCCATGTTTTGCAAATCCATATCATGCTCCAAATGCTCCGAGGCCATGCAAGTCGACATATCATGCAAAATGCACGTCCCCTCCCACCAGATTATACCTGTGAAAAGATCTTTAACAAAGGGGATTGGGATATAAGAAATCAACAAAGAGAAATCAACAAGTAGAAATCAAGAAGCGCAGGGCCGGCTGTTTCAGTGCTCCGGCTTGCCCTCGTTGCCGTTGATGCTACCGAGCGTCGGCTCCTCATCCGAGCCAAAGACATCGCTTCCGTAGTTGGTGCGGTCCGCCGGCGTCGGCTTGCGTGCCAGGGCAGGGCTGCCACCGTTGTCGACCTCGGCGGTCTCGCCACGCTCCGCCGAATCGGCTGCGTCGCCTGCCGCTGCGTCCACGCCCTTGTTGGCAACGGCACCACCAGCGGCGTAGTGACCGGGCGCCGACGAGCCGTTGGGAACGAAGAAGCGGCGGTCGAAGCGCACGATTGTGTAGGTGTAGACGACAATCAGCTCAATGCCAAAGTTGAAGACGTAGTACGCGGGCTTGCTGTCGAACCAGGCCGGGTCGCTCAGGGGACGGGGCATGAAGTTGACGGCGGCGCGGAAGGAGGCGCCGAGGCACAGAAGGGTGCTGGTGAAGAGGAGCAGGACAATCTTGGTGTGCATGTGGCCGTGGCCAAAGTTCTCGACGGCACCATGGTAGGGGGGGCGGGGCGGCGCAAACAGGGTGAGGAGTGTGATGGGGATGGGCAGGAAGGAGAGGACGGCCATGTAGACGGTGCCAACGAGCTGGACGCGGTGCAGGACGTCACGGGTGCTGGGATCCAGAGTGTAGAACGTGTCAATGGCGACGGGGATGACCATGACGAGTACGGCGATGACAGAATAAAAGAGGGCGCGGAACACATAGGTAACAGGGCGACTCCAGCCAAGCCTTGGCCTGTGGGCACGGACGATGCGCTGGGCAAAGATGAGGTTGATCAGAAAGAGGAGGACGACACCGGCAACGGTGAGAACGTTGGCGGCAATGGCGACGGAAATGTTGTGGGGACGCGACGCCCAGACGATGCGAATGACGAGGGCCATGGTGCGGGCCATGCAGAAGCCAAAGGTCATGCCAGAAATGAGAAACTTGTGGCCTCGACGCATATTGACCTGGAGGATGGTCATGTTGGTGGCGGCAGCGGCAATGAAGAAGACCAGGAGCACGGCACAGACTGGGTCGTCGACGCCTGGGACGGGAGAACCGCCCAGACCGGCAGCGGTCGGGGGATAGGGCGGACCGGAGACTGGCTGTGGATGGGGTAAAACTTGTTAGTCGTCTGTGTAATTGGCCGATTGCAAAGCCGGATGACTGGAAATACTGGGATTACTGGGAAGTTTCAATGCTTACAGGTGCAGAAGCCATTGCGAAGAGTGCTTGATAAAACGATACGATAAAGATTGAGGCTCGAAAAGTTAAGGCTCGAAAAGTTGAGCCCCCAAAACGATCAATAAATATACCAGGTGTCGTGTCCGGCTCGAAGCCCAAAATGTCAGAAAGAGCCGAGATGTCGGTCGATAACACACACCAGATGCCAAAACGTGCGTTTGTGTATGTATGTATGTCTGTATGTTGTGCGACGGCGTTCCCGATGATGCAGGCGCATGCGTGTGCGTTCGGGGTTGACCACGTTGTTTGTTTTATGTGGCGTTTTGCGGAGAAGACTTTCCACAGAGGAGGGAAAGGGGCGAGGTTGTGGTTAGTGTAAATATTGAAAATACTGGAAAGTGTCGCGGCGTGGTCTTAGACAACGGGAATGAGCGACGGTAGGCAGGGTGAGATAGAGAAGAGGAATGGTGGACGAGACATGAAAATGGACCAACAAGGATATTATATAAAACGAGCGAGAGGGATCGTCGACGGGAGCAAAAGAAAGTTAGGACAATCAAGCCGGCCAAAAACAAGAAAAAAGAAAAAAGAAAAAAAGAAAAAAAGAAAAAAGAGAAAAATAGGTCGAGTAAGAAATGAAAGAATGCCGGACATCGAAGAAGGAAGGTACGTCAACGGATCCTCGCAAGAAAGCGCGAAACGCTACAATCCTCCCCCCCCCCACAGTAGTCTCGTTCGTTAGATCGGAAGTCAGCAGGTGCGAACGGTCGGACTTTGGGCCCATTCAGTGGCTTTCTTGGCATAACGTTTTATTGTACGCTTCACAGCGTCATGCTAGAAAGGGGTTCTCATCTACAAGACAAAACAAATAAAAGCACGCGTGGCCACTGTGCCTGCCCGATTTCCGTGGGCGTGGGCCGGCGACGAGGGGGAAGGAATCGATCCCACTGACGGGCTCGGGCTTTTCAAAAGTCCATGCTCGAATTGCCCCGTGCTGCGAGGCTTACGGTCACGGCAGAACAGCATCGAATGGGAGGGAGCTCGTGAGAATCCTTTTCTTGTTGCCTTCGTTATGTTGCTCTTGGGTTACCATGGAATGGCGCACTTGAAACAGGCTCGGCATGGCGGTACCTCCGCATGATAGACAAAAGTGAGCTCACAGAGGGCGACCAAACGGGTTTGGCATGCGAAAATTCTCAGCTTTTCTTCCATGGTTTTGGATCCTGTTTGCTCGAGCTGGGTACAATTGGGGGGCGACAAGCGATGAGCTCTGGTTGCCAACCACAGCCTTGCCCTAACATAACAGCTGTAAAGCAGCAAGGCCGGGCCCGCGTTGGGTCGAAGCGCCGACCCTTTGGCTGAGGGCGGAGCTGGCAATGGCGCGAGCGACGGAAAAGTCCCTTTTAGTGTAGACTCGCCGGAGGGAGTACACGCGAGTGACCACTACCTTTCAAGAGGTCGACGCCTCTTTGGCCAATCAGATGCTTCAGTCAGCAAACGTCGGCCCACAGTCGGCGCGCGAACCACCGACTCGCAGAGAGCGTGTTATTTGGACGGGGAAAGCAGATATCAACTCGCACCAAACCAAACCCCAGAGTCGGAACTTTTTCGTCTTCTTTATTATCAAGCAACGACGTCGAAACAAGGTTGACTCGCTCTATATCCGAAAGCCGTCTACGACTCTATGGATCCATCTCTCCACCCGTCGGACGCATTAGGCACACCACCTGTGTTCTGGCAGCTCTAACTTGATAGAGGAAACGAGCAGACAAGGGTTTGAGATTACAAAAGACTGAGGTTGAGGTCTGCCTTGGCCAATCGTTTTGCTTCCATGAAATAAACGACAATCATTGTGGTTCCATTGAATGACGACAGGATGATGCTTGCAGTTGTAGACAGTTGCGAAAAATGCGAAAATGAATCTGTAAATGACGCTGCAATCACAGAGGTGATAAAGAACGGAGCATGCGTATGAGAAGAAAGTACGAGAAGATTCAATGCGACCCCAGAGTATGGCGGCGACCATTGAAGCTCGTGCCATTGAGACCAAACACCATCACAGCGCTGGAACAAAGTACAAACATTCATAAAAGAATACACGATCCGGTGTTTATTAGAATTACATAAGAAACGACAAATCAATAGAACCAAGTCCAGTCTACAGCATATATCGGAACGGAACCTCGTCTTCTCCAAGGTTCGTCTGTCGTCGCGTTTTCTGCCGGGATCGGCCCACGAGCCCTTCTTCTTCGTCATGGCCACCGCCGCCCTCTTCGTCTTCGTCGTCTTCGTCTCCGTCGTCTCTCTCCCCGTCTTGCTGGTCTTCGTCCGTAGCCCGCTGCTTCGATTCCGCCGCGTTCAGCCGCGCATTTCGCCGCCGCAGCACCACGGTCAGCACGACCGCCAAGACCGCCACGCCCAGCATCGCCGCCGCCATTGTGCGCATCCCCCGCGAGAACAGCGGTGCGTCCGCGTTGGGGTACAGCCGCGTGCCTACAAGCGGGCCGCACTGCCCGACGACCTGAAACAGAGCAAAGGCGCCACCCTGCCGACGCGCGCCGCGCTGGTTGTTGAGGTTCCAGGCGATGAGGAGGACGACGACATTGAAGAAGCCAATGGCGGCCGGGTAGACGGCGAGGTACCGGACCACACTCGTCCGACGCAGGGTCTTGGACTCGCCGAGAGAGAGCACGCCGTACCCCACGGCCGACGCGAGAGCATGGGCGATGAGCAGCGGCGAGCGTGCACGTGTGCGGTCCGAGACGTGGGCGGTGGCGAGGACAATCAAGAAGGCGGCGAGGTACGGTGGCGCGGCGAGTGCCTGGGCCGACACGGCATCGTGGCCCATTTCGGTGAGGATGGTGGGCAAGAACACGGGCAGCGAGCTGTAGGCCATGTTGGTGAGGAAGAACATGGCGGCCGTGATCCACGTAACCGGGTCCACCAGCACGCCAAGAAGGCCGCCATGCGACGAGGAGGAGAAGGAGGAGGAGGCGGAGTTTGATGTTGAGGGAGACGCAGTCGCTCCCCTCGCCAGGCGCAGCCGGGCCAGCGTCTTCTCCCTTCGCGTCAGGTAGTGCGCTTTGTCGGGTGCGTCTGGGAGCACACGCCACGCCACAACAGCCATGAGGATCGACGGGAACCCCTCGACGAGAAACAGCAGCCGCCATGCCGCAATCGGGCTCGCCGCATGGCGGCCCAGGGCCAGGATGGCCCACGCCAGCGACGCCGCAAACGTCGTCGCCAGTGGCGCGGCCGCAATAAACATGGCCGTGCGCACGGCCAGCTCGTCCCGCTTGAAAAATTGGGCCAGGTACAACGGGATGCCTGCAAACCCGGCCTCGCCGATGCCCAGCAACACACGCATCGCCACGAGCCACGGGTACGACCCAGCGACGGCCTGCAGCGAGGCGGCCAGTCCCCAGCCGGCCACGAGCGCGGCCACGTAGGCATGCGCGGGGATGTAGTGCCACAGCAGGGCCATCCACTCAAACGAGATGTAGGTGACGTAAAACGCAGACAAGGCCCACTCGTACCAGTCGTCGCGGGGCGGCGTCGTCTGCAGGTCGGCCTCCAGGCCGGCCACCCGGGCGTTACCAATGTTGGAGCGGTCGAGGAAGCTGAGCATGTAGAGCATGGCGACAAACAGCACAAGCCGCCGGTCAAACTTGCGCACCACGGCCCGCTCCTCGTCGGCCGAGTAGGGCCACCGCCGCGCGGCCACGGGCGACGGAGATCTCGTGGCGTCGGTGTCCGAAAAGACGGACAATGCCGACGACGACGACGATGACGACGAAGAGCGTCGCTGGCGGGAGCGGCCCGGCCCGCTGTCGAGCTGCTGCATCTCAATCGCCTCGCCGTGTGCTCCATCTTTTTCTTCTCCGCTGCCGCTGCTGCTCTGTGGCGTCAGCATCTGCGCCGATGACGGCTCGTCTGATGTGTCGGTACCCGTGCCAAGGCCGAGCGCGAGTGACGCGGGTGCGGCCGCGCGGCTCGAAGGCTGCAAGGTCTCGCCCGAGCCGGCGCTAACAAGACCAGGCCGTTCCATCTTGGAAAGCCCTGTGGCCCTTGGATTCAGCACGCTCGCTGTCTAGTGTGTTGACGTCGTCTGCTTGTGTCGTCGGCCTAGAGCCAAGCGCAGCTGTCAATTAGACCAGGCACGCGAAACGAGTGGGCGCGCATGCGCGTGGGTGGTGAGCGAAAATGGCTGTGGATTCTCTTGCCAGTGAATGCCTTAGTCCATGGCAGACTATGGCACCACAGCGCATCAACTTGCGAAGCTCGGGGTGGCGTGGAAATGTGTTGCCGTACGATGCAGGCGACCCCATGCTGGCTGTTCGGCAAGCAGAAGCGAGAAGGGACACAGAACAAGGAAGGGCCCAAGGACACGACGAAAAGGAGCGCCGAGAGCAACCTTGCCCTGACTAGGCTTGGCCAGGCCGAAAAGGCTGGGGCAGGCACTGAAATGCACTGTAATCCGCCCAAGCTCCCCCATGTGGGGAAAACCGCCAGCGCTTTTAGTCTCTTTTCTAGGCGGGAAAAGAGGGGAATGTAGTGCAATGGTCAGCCACAATGACGCCTCGAGCAAGCTTTTGCTGTCATCAACATCAAGACATTGTCTCCAGTCACAGACAACACGACTTACGACGCCACACAATACTCACTGAGACAAGCGGCTGCTGTGCAACACGTAAAACAGAGACACTGCCATCCGCCGACTCGCAGTGCACAGAATCCGCCAAAGAAGCGAGAGATGCATAAGGAAGAATAAAGCATCGTGTTTACTCTACCAAGATTAGGATAGCCACAGATTAGAGCATCGCCATAATAAAAGTTAATACACAGACTCGGTTTCAGTTACTGTCCAGGTGCGTTTCTCAAAATATCGTTTGTAACGTTACGAGGGTATGGGCACAGACACAAAGCAGGGCAAGGTGCAAATGCTCCCTTGTCTCCAAGGCCTTTTTGTCGTGTCCACCAAAGCAACACCATCGCCATTCAGAGTTAACATATCACCACTCAGCAGCAGAACAACAAACACATCCTGGTCGGTCGGACAGAAGCAAAAAAATTAGAGTGTCAATGCAGCTCTATCCACTAACCTTCCCTCCCCCGTGTCCACTTGACGTCCTTCTCCTGTCCTCTCCCCTGCTGGCAACTCCGTCCTCCGCAGCTTTGCCATGCGCGCCTGGCCCTGTCCAATAAGGAGCAAAAATATTATAAACCAAAAAGTTTAAAGTAGATCCAAAAAATGACCGTCTCTTTCCTACTTTTGTTTGCCGCGAGTATGGATTGTCGAGAACAAGAAGCAAGAAAAGAGGAATCTATAAATATATAAACAAGTGAACAAAGGTCAGGCATAAAAGCGTGGCCGCTGTGATGCGCCTGCCTCTCGTCAAGAATGGTAAATGACATGAAATGAAGAGACACTAGGAAATATGATGACAGTTAAACAAAATGGAGACAAATAGGAAAATAGATAGCTGGGCAGAGCCTGTTGAACAGCCAACTGCCACTGTATATGATTCGTAAAAGGGGACCCTCCTGCGACCGGAGATGGGAGTATCTCCAGCTGTGAATGCAGCAAAGAACAGTGAAGAAATCAAAAAATATAAAGGTGCAACCGGCCCAAACATAGGCCTCCCGAAGGGTATCGAAATAGAAAAATGTGGTTTGAAACAGCTTGTTAAGAGTTTGCGTTGGTTTTGTTTTTCTGAAGAAGCGAAAAAAGGTGAAAAGGTGTAGCGGCGAGGGCAAAGGCGGCATATATGCTCTCGTGACCCTGACGACAAAGTACACGAGACATCACAGACGACGTAGGAAGCGGTCAATGGACAGGACGGACGCATGCGGCTAGACGAGCCGCACTCTCTCGGGAATGAAACGAACAGACGAAAGCCCACTTAGTTCCAGCCCAGGGAGTTCTCAGCAGCAACAGGGGCTGAGATAAACGCAGTGCGGCCCGAGTTGGTGTTGCTGCGGCCACTGCCATGGCTGTCACGGCCACCGGCAGCACCACCCGCCACAGCACCGTAGGTCGACGTGAAGTCGCGGCTCAGAAGAGCACCCCCCATCAGCGCCGGGCTACCCGTCTGGCGCATCTCAGATGGATCCGTCAGAGAGTTGCTGCGGCGGTGAATGGACTGCTTCTTGCGCTTGTACCGGCGGGCAATAATGAACATGGCACCGCCGTAGGCAGCAGAGACAAAGATGGCACCAACGGCAATACCGGCTGTAACACCACGCTGCGAGGCGGTCTGGTCACTGCTGTTGTTGTTGTTGCTGAACAGGTCACTGGAGCCCGCAGTGGTAGAAGCGGCCGAGCCACCACCGGTTCCGGAAGACGAGGAGTCAAGGGTCGAGCCGAGGAGAATGTCAATGGCCGGGTTGATCTCCTGCGACATGTTGTAGGCAAGCTGGTCCGGGTCGTTCCAGAGGGCCGCCGTGGGGATGTGCATGTCCATGCGGAGCTGCTCAACCAAAGAGGTAGGATACGTGCAGATGGCAAGCATCGTAACGTAACCCAGCTGGGCAGTGGTGTCGTACGGCACAAGACGCTGCACAACACTCTTGCTCTGGTCGAAGCCACCCTGGTACGCAAGGAGCTCGGGGAGGATCTTCAGGACCTGAGCAGCAGCCTTGGGCGTCACAGCGACGAACGCGTAGTTCAGACCGTAACCGAAACCAATCTGGATTTCAGTGGTGTCCTCAGGAGCCGGGTTGTTGCTTGTATCCGGAGTGATAGCCTTGGGCAGACCGGTCGGAAGACCAGTTGTCGTGGTAGGGGCAAGACCAGTAGCCACAACCGAGCTCTGAGTGGGTTGTACAATGATCGTCGAAGGCAGCCACGACGCCGTGTTGGCAGGGGCCGTCGTGGTGGAGGAAGTCGTACTGCCACTGGTCGGCAGGCTCACGGGCTTAGACGACTGACTCTGCGTCTCCGAAGCAGATGGGACGATGTCGGTCACATTAGCACTTGCAGTGTTATTAGGGGTCGTCGTCGGAAGGATCACAGAGCTGCCGGAGACACTAGATGTGGAGTGACCAGTAGCAGTCGCAGTAGCAGACGTCTCAGTGCTGTTAGGCGAAGGGGACACGATCGAGGCTGGCACGGACGAGGGCGGGAGCGAGGTCGCCGAGTGAGAGGCACTTGATGTCACAGGGGGAGGCGAGGTAATGTTGCTCGTCGGCGGGACAATGCCACTGATGATGGAAGAATGGGACGAGACCGGCGGGGCGGAAGATGAAACCGAGCCAGATGTGGCCGAAGTCAGGGGCGCACTGCTGCTAGTGGACGGGGCAACGGAGCCGGACGTGGCATTCGTCGTGGGTTCATGCGTCAGAGACGACAGGAACGACGACAGAATATCGGTTGTCTTGGAGGTGGTCTTGGCGGTGCCCGTTGCTGTGGCTGACGACGACACGCCAGTACCAGCGCCGGTGTGGCTAATGCCGCTCGACAGAGCGTCAGAGCTGCTCTTCGTCGAGCTACTCGTCGGCGTTGGCTTGGGGTGGAAGAGACTGCTGATAGCCGAGTCCAGCGACGACAAAGGATCCACCGGGGCCGAGGACGAGTCGGACGTCTTGGTTGTCTTGGTCGACTTAGTTGCTTTGGTCGTGCCTGTCGTCGCCGACGAAGAGCCAGACGACGTGTGGGGGAACACGACAATGCCGGACGAGCTGTCAGACTCGCTGCTGGAAGAGTCGGCCGAGGCCTTCGTCGGCTTCGTAGTCGTGCCAGTGGTCTTGGCGTTGGTCGCCTTGCCGGTCGACGGCGGCACGACAATGGTGCTGGTGGCTACAATGACTGTGGTCACACGGCTGTCAGACGAGGACGAGTCTCGTGCCTTGGAGCTGGTGGACGACCGTTTGCTGGTCGAGCTGAGTTTGTCGGAGCGGCTGATGGGCTGCGAGCTGGAGAAAATGTCGGACGAGGTCAGGCGTTTTGTCGTGCCCGTGCTGCTGCTGCTGGAGTCAGAGTCAGAGTCCGAGGACGGCTTGGGTAAGCCCGAGTCGATAATCGACTCCAGGATAGACGGTGCCAGGGTTGGTGGCGGCGGCGAGTGAGGGATGTGCTGTGTGCTCGTCGCGTTGACGAATGACCGCTTGACGTGGCGTGGGAAGTAGATCCGGGGCCGCTCCTCTTGCGCGCTGACGACCGAAGTGGCCGCCGCTAACGCGGCAACCAAAAACGAGCTGGTATGCATCGTTTCGGTTGTGACGAGCTGCCTCCTCTTTGCGATTCGCTAGTTGATGATTTCCTTCTTTTTTTCTGTGTTGCTGGCGAGATGTTCGAGTTGCGGTTGATCAAGCCGATGTCATAAGGGACATGTATTCGTGCGGTCTTTCCAAAAAAGCGAGCGGACGATCGAGTGATCCGAGATGAGAAAAACAAGAGGCTGAAAAGCGAAACGTCTTAATCTGGATTCAGGAACGCCATGCGCGGTGATTAGTTACCGTCCTCCCAGAAACATACTCGAGTTTAAAAAGCAAATGCGTCAAGATCTTGAAGTGTTTGTTGCGAAAGCGCTCGAAAGGCAAGCCATCAAGAGGAAAAGTTTGAAAGGAGATAAGAGCTCACAAATTGTCAGGGTAGGGTGATAAACGAATGTACTTGACAAGAAAATTGTGTTTCTGTCAACGAGTGTGGTCTAGAAAACAAGTGACGCTGGTCAGTGAACCTGTGGTCCCAAGGCGGCGAACGGCATAAACTGATCCCCAAATGATCGGCTGAACAGAAGATGGCACGGGAAAAAATCATGGTATAATGAAATGGCATGGGCGGAAGTTGGCCGGATTGGGGAGTGGCTTCTAGCAAATCCAACCGAAAGAGCAGGATATAGCAGAACAGGGCAGCGATAATACGTTCGCTCCCGCTTCCCAGCCATTTCTTGGGTATTTTCTTTCTGTTGGTTTTTTCTTGGGAGACCCGTCTTTCTACCTCGTTCTTCCTCCCCTCTCTTTGTCTGGCAACTCGTCGCCCCACAGGGTATATTGCAAAAATCTTGCGAACAAACAAACAAGAACTAGAGGACTTAAAGGGGGTGTCGTTTGCATCGTTGGGGCACGGAGGAGGGTGGGCGAAGAAAGTCACTATTGCCTTATAAAAGACAGAAGAGTCACGCTTGACTTACAGGATTATTTCGTTCTCAAAGACTATGCATACGAAGGCGAAAAGAAAACGCGACGTTTGCTTGCAATCAATGAAGAAGGAAAAAGATCGTGAAAGTGCGAGGATGGCACAGAAAAGAGCGACGGGTCGAGCAAGATAGTCGACGTGTGAAAAGAGCCAGAAAAGCAGCGAAAAAACGAGAGACGCAAACGATACGCTGAAAACCAAAATGAGAGAGCGTGGGTTGTTGGCAACTTGTTCGTTGATCGAAACTGGTTTTGCGAGTTTCGTCGAAGTGAGAATAGAATCCGGGTCCGCGATTGAAAAATGTCGATTTTGAAGATTGAAAAAGAGCGACACGCGTTCGGCGGTTGACCTCCGGAGGTTCCCAAGAAATAAAACGACGAAAATGCGAAAAGGAGTTTCGAGAGACTGTTTGAGAGAGCGACGGGGAGAGAAAGAGAAAGCACGACAGGGGAGGAGAGAGAAAAAGACACTGGAGGCTCCGAGACGGGTCGTAACAATTGTAGGCGAAGGAAAAAGGCCCAACGTCGTCGTAGGAGAGGTTTATTGTCGATGTCGAAATGTCGGCGATGAGGCGGCGAGAAGGGAGGCAGAAAAGAAAAGAGCGCAGAAAAGAAGAGAGGAAAAGGAGACAGAGAAAGGGTGACAGAGGGAAATGCAGAATCGGAAAACAGAAACAAAAGGAGGGTGAGCAGACCAAAGAGGAAAGGGGGTGTAACGAGAGGGAAGAGAAGGAACAAACCAGCGGAAGGGATGAAGAAGAAAGGACCAGGGCAGGACGAGGGAAAGAACGAAGATGGGAGGGGTGTGGGCATGGATAGCAGGGGACAGAGGAAATGGGGAGCACCCGCGTGCAGTAAGCTGGAATCGGTCTACAGTGCCTTGTGTTTGGTGTGGGTAAGGGCGAAGGCGTGGCGCGCCACGGAGCGTGGTGCGTGCGTGGTGCGTTCCCTCATTCAGGGAAGGGGAAGTTGGCCCTTCCAGGGGAAAAACAGAAGGAACATACCGAAGCGGGTCTAGCTCGATACAAGAGAATGAAAAAAGGAGGCAGGTGTGTGTTAAGTGGGCGTGGGTGTGGAGCAAGACTGGGCTTGCAGGGCAAGGGAAGGAAAGAGCGAGCCATGGCGTGGTGGTGCACAGTCAACAAAGGCACCTTAGAAGAGACGGACGGCAGGCACCCAGCACGCAGAGCCCATACTGGTGCTCCGTTATTCCATGCAAAAACAGCACAAAGCAAATGAGCACATCGCTACAAAGGTAGTTGTGCTGCGGTCAACATAGCAGACGTCCCAAGATTGGTAGCAGCAAGGGGAGGATGCACCTGCCTTCCAGGCCGTTAATTTCGATTTTTTTTTTCTTCTTTTTTGTTAAACGACGGCCTCTGTTTCGGTTTCTAGAATTTCTTCCTGTTTTTGCTTCTTGTCGCGTCTAGCTCAAATCAGCTCCATATTAACAACCAACAAAGGGTCCTCGAAAGGCATTGCGCATTTCGTTCCTCTTTACGTGCCAGTTGGCCTTTTGTTCTGTTCCTGGCCCTTTCTCGTTAGTGTGGAGTTAGCAAAACGGGAACGCGTTTGGCTGGCAAGATTAGCGCTGTTTGGTCCCGTTTCTGTCTTTCCCCAGGGCGCTAAAGCGCGGCTTCAGGTACAAGAACGAGGCAAAACGGAGTGGCGAGGCGCCCTAACTTCGTCAAATGAGATTGCCTCAGTAGCCACATTAGCTTGCACCGCACGGAGAATGCTGCACCTAGATGGGACACGCGGTGAATGCCCATTGCCGTCAGCACCGCCAAGGAAACTGCGAGGAAATGAGCCCTTCGACGAGTCGGAGATGCATTGCCATATCTTACCTCTGGGGAATGGTAATATGGCTTACGCGGAGTAAGTCGTACTCAACTCTAAGAACAAAGTCTACACATTGATCATGCGGCGGAGCACCTCAGACGTGAAAAAAAAAAAATCTTTAAAAACTCCCCACAGCAAACATCCACGGCGCCTCGAACAAAGAGGCGACGGAAATAAACTGAAGAAAGAGAAGCCTCGATGCTCCTCGATGGACACCTGCTTGTACAAGATACTTGTAGCCCGCCATCTCAGTACGCCACGTCATGCAGGCGAACGGTGTTGAGTACGGGTTCCTTCGTGACCAAGACCAAGTACTCTGGCAGGGGATGGAACAAAAAACTGGACAATGAAAACACGAAGAGTGGGGACCAAATAATTACAGGGGTATTACGGGGCGTCCTCCAGCCCATTTCAGCCAAATGGCCAATAGGGACGCGGAATGTGGGTCCTAACTCAGGCACGCCCTGTTCACCTCGCCTCCGATTATTGGTCCATCTGGAAGAGAGAGCGCCGTGCGTGCAAGGCACGGAAGCTCTGGGTTCAGTAACAGAGTGGTCAGCAAGTTGCCAGTCGCCCAGTCTCCAGCATGTCACACTCCGTGGCTTGAGGCTTCGTCGCCATACGAAGAGGAGCGTTGATGCAACCCTCTCTCGCTCTGCACGACTAAGTCGGAAGACCGCTGTAGCTTCTTTCAGCGCGCTGTTGGTTACGACGTAAGTACTCAGTATGCTCCTTCTGGCTCTGCGCCCATGAAATCGTTCTAATTTGCAGGGACCGGGAGCATCCCCTGCTAAGTCATGGCTCTTCTTTCCCGATCCGGAATGGATTGGTTTCATAACAAAAGCTGCTGGAGGGGAAGGAGGGAGAGCGCAGAGACATGGCAATTACCAACCAGGGCGGAGACCGCGAAATGTGAAAGCTTGGGTGTGGGCTGGCGATGGTAGGCAAAGACCTGGTCTAGGCCCGTGGATAGGCGTTTTTTGGCCGTTTTTGTGCTGTTTGCTCACTGAAGGAAGTGACCCTTGGAGCGATGATCCCCTTATCGGACAGGGGACAAGCGGCAGAGCATAAACACACACGTCGTATTACTACTTCGTAAGATACATACGATGCAATAATACGGTGTCGATTTGCACCAGGGGCGTGGCTCAACCAATGGCAATCGTCCTGGATGCACTGTGCATTTACTTTCGTTTCCTGTTCCTGCCCATGTTGCCAAGCATCGTCGAGAGTCAAAACGAAACAAACAGAGCCAGGAGAGAAGAGCCAAAGCAAGGGAAAGCCCATATGGAAGTACTCCGCAGACCGCTGCGCCGTGGTTCTTGGCGTCCTCTGATTTTGTTCCTTTTCGTGTTCCTTTCTGTGTTTTGCTAGCCGACCTGCATCCAACGAATGGCTACGCTTCCCATCTTCAATCGTCGGCCACCGGGTGTGTTGCACACTGCAATGAATGCATGGCATTGGGTGGCTGACTGGCTGACTGGTGTTTTACTTGTCTCGATATCAGTCGCGTATTCTAGATTTTGGTGTCGGATCTCTTTTTGCTCCCGCCCCGCCATCCCCAAGGCGGCCGCGTGCTTTCAGCATGTGGCATGTTGCACCGGAACGAAGAAATTCGTCGGGCATGAGGCAGGCTCGAGTACATTACTCCGTGTCCACCCTTTGGTATTACGGAGGATACGAGGTGCTTGCGAGCCTCCTGCGAGACTGCAGCAAAACCCATGTGGGATACCGATGGCACCTGTCTGCAATACGAGAAAGTCAGAAACGCTGCTAAGCCGCTTGGAGGAGGGCAAAATGCTGTTCAAACTTTTGCAGCCGAAGCCGCGAGGGAAAGCGTAGCAAAGCAGATAAAAACGGGCCAAAACGGTGCCCACGGAGTCTTTAGGAACTCTATTCCATTCCTTCAGCGCGTAGTATCAGCGTATCAGTCGTATTTTCTTACCTCGCGCCAGCCTTGTACTAACCTGCAAGGGATCGGCAGGCACCCGGTCCGTCGTTCTGGCCAGCGAGCTGCAGAAAAGAAATGGAACAAGCAGAAAGTAGGATACATTCAGGGCCAAAGGCTAGGACGGCACCAAAAGCGAGGGAATAAAGTAACATCGTGAACTTGAAAGTACGACATAAAGAGGCTCACAGTTTCCAGCCCACACTACGGAGTCCGTCTTAATGTGTACTCCGTACATGTACATGTAAGATATGCTGGCAAAGGACTCAACGTCGGGAAATAAGTCTCATCTGCCAAGGATTTCCCCAATCCGACGTTGGACTGTAGACAGCCCAAAAATATCAAAACTACGGGAGGGTTAAGGAGAGACTAGGGTAGGAATGGGGGTGAGAAATAAAAGCGACCATCCGCTGTGATGAGTGCTGTTTGCTTTTTGTTTTTAATTTCCTGTGCAGAAACGCACGGAAAAGCGAGAGGAGCGAGGCGTCAAGAAATTTGCAAAGCACACCTGTCAGCGCCAAAGGAACGCCGCCTTCAACATAGCGTCTACGTAAGTAATGCAAGTAAGATGCATGGCGGCCTTGTCTTGAGGCCAGTCATGTGCATACCCAGTAGAACACATCTCATGTGGCGTCCGGCATGCAAAACACGTTGAAGATCTACATATCTTAGAGGCATTTTTATTGAAACAAAGAGGGCCAAGTACGGAAGCACAAAGTTGAGGAATAAAAACATGGCTCGACCTGTCAAGGTTTGAAGGTTCTTCCCGTGGCCGAGGAGACGCCGTCAACGTGTCAACCAAGAAGGATAGAAAAACGACCGGCACACCACTCGGAAATCCGGATGAGGGACGAAGAGAAACGACAGTTGTCGTCACTCGAGACTTCCAACGGGAACAAGGAACAAATTAGTTTATGGAAATTCCAGTCGGAAAATACCTTGAGGAATGAATGTGCTCGTATCCACCCACGCAAACCTTCCGACTTTCGATGTGGCTTTGTTTCACGATTCAAAAAAGGGGAACCAATATGTCGGTCGCGGGGGATGGCCTTCGGTCGCCACGAAGGGGATAAAGAAGAAGAGCCGCTTTGGGGGGATGGCCAAATGGTAGAGACTTCTGGCACGTCGTCAACCTGCGTTAGAACGTATCGGCGCGCATAGGAGCCTTATTTGGCTTGTGCTTGTCCTTCCTTTTGAAATCTTCAAGGCTTTTCAGTTCTTTTTTGGCTGTTTTCTCCCTTTTTTCGTACTGTATTTTTTATTATTATTATTATTATTCTTCATTTGTATTCAACCCAAAGCCACAAATCTCATCACGCACGACGGCCAGTACTCGCCTCTTTTATCGTAGGTTGCACGGGACAAGGCACTCCATGACGCGGCTTGCATCTTCGATAGCCGACATCACGCTAGGTCAAGGCCACTTCATCGCTGCTTTGCCGGCCCGAGAAAAGAATGTGAAATGGTAGATAACACGAACGATTGGTTTGGAATGCGGTTGTGGTGCTTTTTGCGACGCCTTTCGATTTCCCGCCTCTGGCCTTTTCACCTCGCTGAATCTCCCTTCCAGGATCCCTTGCGTCCATGCCTCCTTGCAAATGTTGTCTTGTCACCAATCGCAAGCGTCCCGTGGACTTGAGACAACACATTAACCAACATACACATACACATGGTGCCAATGAAGGGATATGCTGCGGTTTTGAATTCATTCCTTTCTGCCGATACCCGGTGCGCCATACGGCGCACAAGTCGTGGTGTTGTAAAACATGTCTTTCCGGAGCGGTCTTTCCACAAGCAAGATGTGAGTGAGCAGAGCCATTTGGTGAGCTCCGTGACTCGGAATCCTCCCTGCATCGGAACAGTTGCGTGCCGCTGCCTCCCTTCGGTGCCCTCGTGATCCTTGGGGACTCTTTGGCCTGCCGTGTGGTGGTACAGGTATGTGATTTTGTGTGACTGTAAGAGCATGACTGTAAGAAATGTAAACGAGAGGCAGGGCAAACGGCCTTCCCGTCTTATCTATGTGTATGCCAGTTTCAAGTTTCAATGTCGGCTTTCCCACTGAGCCTTTTGTGTGTTCGTGTCCGATTCTTGGTTCGTCCTATCGCTGTCTCGTCCGGAGACAGAACGAGATATCTCATCTACAACCCGACGACAATCCCTTCTCGATTCTGACAAGAGGGTTAGTCTAGTGTTGTCTCACTTTGTCCTCTGGATAAGCCACAACATTCTATTTCTAGAGTACGTAACGTCGTGACTCTGCCTCTCTTTTTTTTATTTGTTTCCATCTGTCAGTGGCATACTCAGTGCACGTACATTTCAACAATGCGTGCCCGATCACCAAAGTTCGTGACAAGCTTCTGCCTCATTTCGCTTTATCCGTCTCTAAAAATTCTCTCATTAGCATGCCATGGCAGCCACGTACAAGGACCACTATCATGAAATAAAGAGGACCGTCGCGTCAGCCGTTAACGTGGATGCCAGGAATGCGGAGAGGGCCAAGTTCAACTCCGGTATGCCACATATGCCATTTACCTTTACCATTATGTTATGAACCGGGACGTCCGGAGTGTCCAAGTGGACAGCACAGAACGTATCGAACGCGTTTCCTAGTTTCATCCACATTGAGGGGGGAGGGATTGGATGGAGGACGACAACGCGAACAACAGCATACTCAGTACATGATGACAGGCCCCTTACCGAGTCCGGCACATGTGAGAAATGCGAGTGCTTATCGTCCTTCTGTTTGATGTTTGTTTCTCAAAACAATGGCGTGAAACGAAACGGCACGGGTGAGGTTGGAGGAAACGGGAGAGGGGAGAGAGAGGGAAGCCAGACCGAGCTACATCAGCATCGTGAATGGCTGACGATATGCCAGCCAGTATCCCGTGTGCTCCATGAATCGCACTGGGCGTGTGCTTCTGCAGCTGCTCGGCAGCGTACCTGTCGTCCCGTGGCTCTCTATGTGGGTGATGAACGTCATCTTGACAAGGTGCCATACGGGAGGCAGATGCACGGGTCCCCGTACATTTATCGTTATATACATCTCATATGGTTTTAACGACTGCATAGACGATGGTGTGCTTATTTGCGACAGTGCATATGGAAATTAAAGACAACCAAGATATCGAGACGAGGGAGACTGGCTGCAGTTTGAGCAGCAACGACCAAGTCGCAGTCGACTGGTTGGATGGGAAACATATATTAAAAGACGGCTCGAGCTTGGTCCCTACCACCTACAGCCGCTCAAATCTGGCAACCCTTTTTGTTCAATCTTGTCCATTTTTGGTCATTTGTGCTCTTTGTATTTGTCGTTCTGTCTTTTGCCTTGCCCTACCCGCCCGAGCGTAGCATTGAATAGATTGCAATACTTTACCCGTTATTGCTCCCTTGAAAATGCAACATACGGGACAGAAAAGGGACAGCACCAACGCAGAGTGACGAGATGTGCATACAGCAACCGTTTAATGGGTGCAATCTATACTGCGCTGGGTGTTTTGTACTGTTTAAGGGGGGATGTGCACAATACAAAGCTCAAATGAAGTTTACGCTCCCTCGAGATCCCTGATGGCATGTTTGACGATGCTGTCGAAAACACTAGTTGTCGTCCGCGATTGGATGCTGGGCCAATAGCACCAAAGGTGGTTATTGACTCGAGATAGGTGCAATTACTTTCCAGGATAACATTGGATACGCCAACACAATGAGAAGGCCAATGCGCAATGTTGGCGTTCGTCGTCGCTCAGATAATTGCAACGCCTAAGCCTCGTCGTAGACTAGGAGATTTTGTGTGGTGAAGATCACGGACATTCTTGAAACAAGCTTCGCGAGACGAGTATCGTGAAGCAGGACGGTCATGTCGTGCGTCGTTGAATTGTTTTTCACGTAGTTGGGAGAACGTAAAACTTGCGCTTATTTTTACCCGTGTGAACTTGAGGCGCAATATTGTGTGGGTAGAGTACTCCTGATGCTGGTTTAACGCGTTGAATATCATTTCGAGGTGAGGGTTGTTATGCATCTAGTGTTATGCAGTCTTTTAATGGTACAACAATCTTGTAAATCTTTGTTTTTAATTTTATTTTAATTCGCAAAGTTATTTTTTTACTATTATTTAACATCCGACTTTCGACCGTCAGTTCATGTTCACCCATACACACGTATATTTCCACTCAAAGAGGAACACATTAAAATGGACGCACAACAAGAGATTCCGAGAATATCATGAAAGCAAGGTCAGAGGAGAGTGAAATTGGCCAAGGTGGCGGTGTAGAGTGATATCAGAATAACATCAAATAAGCAACGAAAATTGAACACATTCCCTTTCCTGAATTCGCATGCTGTGCATTAATTCTGGCCAAGACGAGATCTTGGCATTGTGTAAGGAGACACACATGATTTTTATTCATCTGAGATGAGTCGTTCGTGGCGGCAAGGCGATAAAGAGATTTGTGTGACAAGGAGTCTCCCAGACACAGGAAAGAGTAAAACACTACTACGAATGGAAGAAGACAAACACGACGAAAGAAACGACGGGCTACGTCATCAACCCAGTATCTCTACTAACCGTCTGGACGAGACGTGGGCATCTACTTATTCTCATCACTCGCCATTATTTCAAGACTTCTGTCATAGACGGGAGCATGGTGCCCTTATTGGTGGTGCTATCGGGCCCCGATGAACCCTTGCACCATCTGGTCACCCTTGAGCTCATTTCGGCCCTTTCTGTCGTCCTTGTATCGCTTGAAAACAACGAGACAGGACAAGTTCGGATGATAGAGATTGCAAGAGTTAAAATCAATACAACAACGGAGACACGGAAAGCCCGGTTCCATGTGACACGAGATAGTCTAGTCCCTGCGACGGATGGTGACTTGCGGACTGGAGTCTCGCAAGGTCTCCGTTTATGTCAGCCTCCTCGTCTTTCTCACACCAGCTACCAATGCTCATATATGGACTGCTCGTGAGATGGTACGCGCTGGATACCGTGAACTATCTATGTTGTGCACCTCGATCTCTGTGTAAGGGGGCACCACATTAAAACTTATATACCAGTTACCGGTACTTGGGGTTGCTGTCCTAATAAGAGGAGATGACGTAGCAAATTGTATTGATTTGCGAATAATTTGTACTTAGGACTGGTTTATCTGGCAGATGGCTCTCAAGGACCAACGCAACTGTTGCGTTGTGTAGACAATGACGGCGGTTGCCACATGAGTATGAGATACTGCGTAATACAAGCATGCATATTCAAAAGCACAATTAGTGTCTTGGAGCTTGAGTGTTTGGTATATGGGATAGAAGCTCGGCCGGTAATATCATGGGAGGTTGCATGGCTTATGTCCAGTCTGTGTCTTTCCGGTATGCTCACCGACTGTTGTACAAGACACAGCCGTCCACTCACTCGGCCGTTCGAATGCCACGAGAGGAGCAGCTGTCTCTCCAGCTGGAAGACGGAGAACCACAGGTGCAACAAAAATAAAATAAATACACGACCCACGCGAGTCATACGAGATATCCTCCCGGAGTCGTTTTGTCCCCCTCGGTTTCATGTATCTGGGAGTTTCTTGTTTATGCGGGATGGCGAATGTTTCGCTCCCGCCTCAACTCACAACTCATCACCTTTCCGGCTGCCCCGAGCTGTCGACGATGACAGGAACCGCCTGCCCCGCTTACAATACCGTCCGTTCACTTTTCAGCGTCTCCTAGGATGTTTGACAGAAAAACCCTGGGCTTGATTGACGTACTGGTGTCCTGGACTGGCCTAGCAAGACCAGCTACTGGTTTAGCTGGAGACATAAAAGAGGCGACAACATACGAATTTGAGTGTGATGTACGTTATATTTTTATAGACTACCAATGATACCAAAGAATAACACAAAAACTGGTACAGGACATAAAGTAGTAAGAAGCGCCGTAGGTAGCAAACGGACAAACAGAAAGCGTAAACGACTGAACGAATGCATCACGTTCAAACACTCCTTCGTTCCCCAGCTGTTCCCTTTTGCAAGGTCTAACCGAACGTAGCAACTGTGATAGGAGACCAGAGAGGGATCCCAGAAAAGAAAAAGTAAGTGTTCGTAAACAAGCCCACCGACAAGATGAGATGCCAAAGTGCCTTGAGACAGGGACATGAGCGACGCATAAGGACGAGGTGGGACCACAGAGCATTTTGCCCGTGAGATGTGACACTGAAATTACTCATGTGTATGTGCTGTTTTTATGTTAATTCACTGCGATATTTCTGGCAAGCAGAATCTCGATGACCCTCCTCGGCGAGATCTGCAACCTCTCCGTCTCCTGCCCAGCTCCTTCGCTGCGGGACGATAAACCGTTACGCGCGCTTATGTCGAGAGCAAACATTGTCCTGGCAAATCGAAACGAAGCATACAGACTTGATGTCACAACCGAAGAGCGAAACGTTAGCGAGCAGTCAAGGCAAGGGGATGTGGAGTTTGTGACAATGAAGAGTTGGTTGCCCGTGGCCAATTCGGTTATGCAATATGCACACTCAGCCTCGTACTCCACAAGCTGAGAAGAAGCCATACGACTGGGACAGCGAATAGGGGCTCATCCAGGCCTTCCAAGTGGTCAATAGTGGCACTGGCGGTGAGAGGCCACACTCGCATGCGGCAACGGCATGTGCAGACGTGCAAGAAAATCGGAAAGAAAGAAATAAAATGAAAGAAGAAAACATAACGACAAGGGCAACAATAGCAACCGAGCGGACTCACCTACCGGCCGAGCTTCTGAGACCCCGACAGGCCCGCGTTAGAATTTTCTGGGGCCGTGACTCGAAAGCTGGTCCAGACTTGTACGTACGTTGTCCTGTCATGAACTTTTCAATGGCTTGTCCTGGATCTGTCAGATTCACTGTAATACCGCCTATCTGGTCTCGGCTCGCATCTTTGTGTTCTTGTATGTCGTATGTCGTGGTTAAAATGAGGGCGATTTTTCGGACGGACCCCCGGCAGGTTCACGGTGCACAGATCTGAGTCTGCGCTCTGTCTTTGTCGACATGCATTTATTTGTCCCACGATGGCCATCGGCTGGGACACGCACGTATCGAGGCCATGCAGGAAGCAGGGAGAGACAGAGGGTGACGAAGGACGATCAAAGAGCCACGGATGAGTATGGAAGAGAATGGCCTTGGAATAGATAACCCAGAAACGGCCAGAAACCCGCGAATATACGAGATGAGAAAGCAATAAAAATACTCCAAAAATACACAAAATAACCGCAACATCAAGCAACACGCAGGAGCCAAACAGAATGGTCATTGCCAAGCTGCCTCTATTCCCGTAGTCCATGCCCAGCGTAAACGGATCGTTGCTTCACGTGATACGTTCACGGCCGCGATACAGGACACCGAATCGTGGCCTAGAGTCGTTTGTACCGCTGCCATGTTCGTGTTGTTTGGGTTTGAAAATTCACTTGAGAATTGACGTCGGTAGAAAACGGCTTACATAATACGAGTAACGTGCGAGGTAGTGCGGCTTGCGAAACCGCCGCGTGTGTTCCCCTCCCCCGCCATCACATCATACCTGCTCCACCCGTCTCAGGCCTTGTAAAGCTCGGTGTTTCTGGCGATTGGATTGACGAGAACGAGGAACAGGAAGAACAAAGCTCGGAAAGAGCCTCCCGGCTGGACTACGGGCGTCCTCTCGTCTCGGTCTTTCTCTTTCGGCGGTGTTTGATGCCGCTCATCGACACCATTCTGTAATACATCGCTCATTTGCCCGTTTGTTCTTGCTGTTTGCTTGTGCCTTGCCTGTCCCTGAAGGTGCGTTCGCGCCCCCATTGGGAAGGCCCCACCACATGGAAGGTCCCTTTCTTCCTGCCAGTCTCCTGAGCTCCGCAGTCACCAATCATCAAGTGTTTTCTCTCGTCGTTTTCTGTCGTCTTCTTATGTCCCGCTCTGCTTTCAACTTTTCCAGAGCTTCTGCATAGTTTCTGTTTCTTCGTTGTCTACCGCCGATTCCGTTCGTTCTTCATGTCTCAGTCGCCAACCCATATATCACCGTACATGTACATCCGTCCTGAACCAGGTTTCTTGCAAGCTGGAGAGGATACAGGATACATCGCCTCGTAGGTGCCATTTGTGACATTTGTTGTAGACATGTACCGCTTTCATGGCAGGAGCTCCTCTGCATTGGTATCCACTTCTCACTGCGCCTGTCCTCGGTTACGTACCCTGTACAAGCCAAGCAACATAGTATCTTGCACTGTTCGTACGCATGGATCGACCTTCCCCCTGTAGTTCATACCTTCCGCGCCTTCGGTGTCTGCACGGCAGTAGTACCTTCCTGTTCATCTTGTACCTGCACCTCCTTCCCTCTGTAACTGCTTTGCTTCTCTTGCCGCCTTTGCTTTCCCACTTTCCCATCTCTCCTGTCGCTCCTCCCTTGGCCAGCCGGCCGCCCGTCCTTCGCCGTGTTTTGTCAATAAATACGCCGTCCGCCCCCCTCCGCCCCTCCCCTCTCACCAGAGCTAGTCCTCTTATTTCCTCTCTTCAACACCAACGCAGAACAAGTCCTAAGCTTCCCGCACCTTAGCCTCCACGCCAGAAAATAACGTTTTTTGCTCTTTGTAAGTCTCCCGATAGCTTGGGTGCTGCTCTTGTTGAGACTGCCTGCCGGTGCTCTTTTGTGTGTCCTGTTCCACCCCTCCGCCACCGTCAACCGTCGTCCCGAGCGCCCCGACTAAGCTCCTTTCCCCCATTTCCATGCCCAGCGTACCGCCCCTCTTATAAAATGCAGAGCTTTCCTCATCATCTTCTCCACCCCGAGTTTCCCTCTTCTCCCTGCTTCTCTGCTTTTCCCCTCGTCTCTCAATGGCACCTCTTCGACTAGCTCGTACCTTTACCGCCCTGACAGCTCCAGCTAACCAAAGCTTCCTCTCCCGTCGCAACACCAGCTTCTTCCACTCTACCGCTTTCAACATGGGTGTCACCAAGACCACGCACCAGGAGGGCACTGGCGCCACCCCCAAGGTTGGCGACCGTGTTACTATTGAGTACACCGGCTACCTCAAGGACACCTCCAAGCCCGACAACAAGGGCAACAAGTACGTGAATCCTGATTACGCCAGTGCTAGCTTGCTGGTCAAGCTACTTTTTATTTCTTATTTCTTCTTTTTATTGTTTATGCCCTCCGTGCTAACCAGATTCTCAACAGGTTCGACAGCTCCGTCGGCCGTGGTGACTTTGTCACCGCCATCGGTGTCGGCCAAGTCATCAAGGGCTGGGACGAGGGTGTCGTCAAGATGAAGGTTGGCGAGAAGGCCACCCTGGACATCACCAGCGACTACGGCTACGGTGCTCGGTAAGACGCTCAAAATCTCCCCAAACAACCAGTTCAACGAGCTCTCTCGCTTTCTGTTGTTCTCGATACTAACGAAACTGTCATAGTGGCTTCCCTGGCCACATCCCGGCCAACTCTGACCTCATCTTGTATGTCCCACCCGCCCTTCCAACCTGCGTTTAACCTCCTGCACTTGCTATTGGTAGTCAACAATTGGACTAACACCCTTTGCAGCGACGTCCTCCTGAAGAAGATCAACTAAGCGAACGTGTCAGATCAATCCGACAGGGCTAACAGACAATAAAATAAGACAAAAACACAAAAAAATAGTGTCTCACATAAAAAATTTTACACCCCGGAGAACCGAAATGGTTGCTTAGACGGGGGAGACGGGGAACGAGGCGGTAGAATACCGACCATCTGTTCCATGGGTTATGTTTCTGAATTTGATAGGACTCGCCATATGCGCGACTGTCAAGTCCGGATGTTGAAATGGCCGCCAATAAATGGCGTTGCCCCAATACCAAAGTGTTTGCCCTTGAATTCCTGCAAAGTGACGCAATTCACGTGATATCGTGTCGCAGAGAACTCTCCACTCGTTGCATCACCTCTGCTTTCTTGAGCTTTGGTCGCTAATCTGCCTTGGAGCGTATTATCTGCCTGCACGTCTTCCCGCCAGCCTGTGGTTTCCCGCTTGCTTTCTGCTGCAGAATGGGACCTAAAGGTCCTTTGTTCCGCTCTTTGTGTCGACACGTCGCAACGAAGAACGGAGTAGAACATTGTAGTATTCTAGGCAGAAAGTGGGGCAAACGGAAGGCAACAAAGGCCCGCCTTGCCCACTAAGCAGGCCGGCCAGGCCTCCCGGTCAACTACAGCAGCCTCAACACCTGTACTTCGTAGAATGCCCAATGCCTGACCTGGTTGCCGCGATGGAAACAGGAGGAAACTGCGAAACAGCGGGGCTGCCTTCACAGGCGAGGGCTGGCTGGGTGGGGCAACACTGTGTCGTTGCTCTTTCCTCTGTTTTGTGAGGCGTTCTGCCAATCTAGGACACCCATTGGCTCTGTATCTCGGCGTTATGGTACGAGAGCCAGGACGATCTCGGTGCTATGACCCAACATTGTCTGGAGGACTGTCTGCTACAGAAGTTGGCAGCTGCCAGGTGGCCATCTTCAACGTTTCTTGAGGCCTCAGCCACGTCTTGCCGGTGGACGAATTCTTTTATTTTGTCTTCCGTGCCCACGGTGCCTTCCCGGCGTAATCATTGTCCCAGGTCATGCCTTCCCTCGAAGAGTTGTTTCGCATTGACAAGGAAAGAGCTGCTGGTCAGCCTGTTCACTCGAGTGAGTCGCAGGGCGTAATAGAGTTATTTTGGTCCAGGCAGAGCGGGCAGGCGACTTTTCTTAGAAATCGGTCAGATGAATAATGGGAGGAAAGAGGCCATAAGAGCAACAGAGTTCGCCCTCCTTCCCCTTCGCTTCCGAAAAACCTTTTACCTGTCAACTCCAATTTCATTCCAGCATCCGTCATTCACATCGTCTTTACGAACAACCAAACGTGTCCATTGTCAATTCCAGAAGCTCCCACCGCTGCCAACGCGCTCTAGGCCGGCCACAGACCCCGCACAAAGCTCGACACGTCTGTCCAAACGACCGACGTTTCTGTTCTGAGTGGGGTTTGAACGCTCTCTCTGTCATTCTCTCCCTCTTCTTCCTCGTCACCGTTCAGGACAATCCTCTTCACCCTCCGCTCCTGTCCCACCACACTTTCTTTTCCCACGTTTCCGTTCCATTCTACATCTCATACCTGCCCCGCCAGGTAGAGACCTCCTACCCGAAGCTTTCAAACTGGGGAAGCGAACCCTCTCATCCGGCAGCTTGCCCGATTCGTCTAGAGTCAAAATGACTGTATGTTCCTGTTCACCTCAGCCGACGCCGTCCTATCCTCACCGCTTGTGGGTGCCTTAGCTAACCCGTCTGCGTGCTCTCTTGTAGGACCAGAAGCTGCCCGAAGTCGACCTTGTCACCAGAATGCAGGTCGACGAGTCCGTCGTCGGTAGCACCGAGATCGATGAGTCACTCTACAGTCGCCAGCTCTATGTGCTGGGCCATGAGGCCATGAGGCGCATGGGCTCGTCGAATGTGCTGATTGCCGGCCTCAAGGGTCTTGGTGTTGAGATTGCAAAGAACATTGCCCTGGCCGGCGTCAAGAGCCTCACCCTCTACGACCCCGCCCCGGTGGCCATTGCCGACCTCTCTTCCCAGTTCTTCCTCCATGTCGACGACATCGGTAAGCCGCGCGACCAAGTAACAGCCCCCCGGGTCGCCGAGCTCAACGCCTATACCCCCGTCCGCATTCATGAGTCCGCTAGCCTCGTAGACAACCTCTCTCAGTTCGACAAGTACCAGGTCGTGGTCCTGACAAACACCCCGCTCAACGTCCAGCTCGCCGTGGCCGACTACTGCCACGAGAAGGGTATTTACGTCATTGTTGCGGACACTTTCGGCCTGTTCGGCTCCTTGTTCTGCGACTTTGGCGACAAGTTTACTGTCATCGACTCCACCGGCGAGAACCCGCTGAACGGTATCGTCGCTGGCATTGACGAAGAGGGCCTGGTGTCCGCTCTGGACGAGACCCGGCACGGCCTCGAGGACGGCGACTATGTTACCTTCACCGAAGTGGAGGGCATGGAGGCCCTGAACGGCAGTGAGCCGAGAAAGGTTACCGTCAAGGGTCCCTACACCTTCTCGATCGGCGACGTCTCCGGCCTCGGCCAGTACAAGCGGGGCGGCCTGTACCAGCAGGTCAAGATGCCCAAGTTCCTCGACTTCAAGAAGCTCTCTGTTGCCCTCAAGGAGCCCGAGTTTGTCGTGTCTGATTTTGCCAAGTTCGACCGTCCTCAGCAGCTGCACATTGGTTTCCAGGCGCTGCACGCCTTTGCCCAGACGCACAACCGTCTACCGCGCCCCCAGAATACGGAGGATGCCACGGTCCTGGTGGCCTCGGCCCGCGCATTCGCTAAGACGGAGGGCATCGACGTGGAAATTGACGACAAGCTCCTGACCGAACTCAGTTACCAGGCCACGGGTGATTTGAACCCGATGGCGGCGTTCTTTGGTGGTATTGTTGCCCAGGAGATCCTCAAGGCTGTGTCGGGGAAGTTCAACCCCGTGGTGCAGTGGTTCTACTTTGACTCGCTCGAGTCGCTCCCCGAAAAGTTTGAGCGCTCCGAAGAGCTGTGCAAGCCCATTGGCTCGCGCTATGATGGTCAGATCGCCGTCTTCGGTACCAAGTACCAGGAGCACCTCTCCAACGTCAAACAGTTCCTGGTCGGTGCCGGTGCCATTGGCTGCGAGATGCTGAAAAACTGGGCGATGATTGGTCTTGGATCTGGCCCCAAGGGCAAGATTTTTGTCACAGACATGGACTCCATCGAGAAGAGCAACCTTAACCGCCAGTTCCTGTTCCGCCCCAAGGACGTTGGCCAAATGAAGAGCGACTCGGCCGCCAAGGCAGTGCAGGCCATGAACCCCGATCTTGTCGGCCACATCGATTGTCGGCGCGAACGCGTCAGCAACGAGACCGAGCACATTTTCAACGAGGAGTTCTGGGAGGCCCTGGATGGTGTCACGAACGCCCTGGACAATGTGGAGGCCCGTACATACGTTGACCGCCGCTGTGTGTTCTTCCACAAGCCGCTTGTTGAGAGTGGTACCCTGGGTACGAAGGGCAACACGCAGGTGGTCCTGCCGCTCCTGACGGAGTCGTACTCCTCGTCGCAGGATCCTCCTGAGCAGTCGTTCCCCATGTGCACGCTGCGGAGTTTCCCCAACAAGATTGAGCACACCATTGCGTGGGCCCGGGAACTGTTCGACACCAACTTTGTCAAGTCTGCTGAGACTGTCAACCTGTACCTGACGCAGCCCAACTTTATCGAGACGTCGCTGAAGCAGGCCGGCAACGAGATTGCAACGCTGGAGACGCTGCGCGACTACCTGAAGAACGAGCGGGCGCTGACCTTTGAGGACTGCGTTAGCTGGGCGCGCATGCTCTTCGAGAAGCAGTACAACAACGCCATCCAACAGCTTCTGTACAACTTTCCCAAGGACTCCGTGACGTCGTCGGGCACCCCATTCTGGTCGGGCCCCAAGCGCGCTCCGGATCCGGTCAAGTTTGACGCGACGAATCCGACACACTTCTCGTTCCTGGTGTCGGCAACGAACCTGCATGCGTTCAACTACAACATCAACGTCCAGGGCAAGGACAAGAGCGAGTACTTGGCGGCTCTTGAGAACGTGATTGTGCCTGACTTCTCGCCCGACCCGGGCGTCAAGGTTCAGGTGGACGACAAGGAACCCGTAAGTTCACTGGATTATGACGCGGCACGGCACAGTCTCCGCACACGTCCCCTCTGCAAACAATACTAACCTCCGAAACCCACAGGATCCCAACGCCGGATCGAGCTCCTTTAACGACGAAAACGAAGTCAGCGACCTGATCAAAACGATCCCGACGCCTAGCTCGATGGCCGGCTTCAAACTGACGCCGGTGGAATTCGAGAAGGACGACGACACCAACTTCCACATCGACTTCATAACTGCTGCGAGCAACCTGCGCGCCGAAAACTACAAGATCGAGACAGCCGATCGGCACAAGACCAAGTTCATTGCCGGCAAGATTATACCCGCCATTGCGACCACGACGGCGTTGGTGACGGGCCTGGTCGTGCTGGAGCTGTACAAGATCGTCGACGGCAAGACGGACATTGAGAAGTACAAGAACGGCTTTATCAACCTGGCTCTGCCGTTCTTTGGCTTCAGCGAGCCGATTGCTAGCCCCAAGGTCGAGTACCAGGGACCCAACGGCAAGGTGTCGCTGGACAAGATTTGGGACCGGTTCGAGGTGCCGGACTTTACGCTGCGGGAGCTAATCGACGACTTCTCGAGCCGTGGCCTGACGATTTCGATGCTGAGCTCGGGCGTCAGCCTGCTGTACGCATCCTTCTTCCCGCCCAGCAAGCTCCAGGACAGATACAGCCTGAAGCTGAGCAAGCTGGTGGAGACAATCTCGCGGAAGCCGATTCCGGAGCACCAGAAGGAGGTCATCTTTGAGGTTGTGGTCGAGGACCTGAACGAAGAGGATGTTGAGGTCCCGTACATCAAGGTCAAGGTCCGGTAAAGAAACAGGACGGGAAACAACAGAGGATTGGCTGGGACGATTAGATTAGAGACTGCTTGTACTTTGCAACATCTTGGGGTGGTGTATTACCGGATTCACGGCATGATTGCGTGCCCTTTCATTTCTATTCCATTCATTATTCTGCTTGCGAGGCTGCTTTCCATTCCTGACGTGTCGCTTGCTCTCGGGGCTTTTCTCGAACGATTTTCTCCTTCTCTTCTATATTTTTCTTCTTATTTCTGTATTTCCTCTCCTCTTTCAAAATTATACGAGACCTGCAGAAACTATATTGTGCTCGGCCGAACACTCGAACTAGGGAAATGATCCAGCCACTCATAAGCCTAGTGAACGCCGCCTGACACGGTTATAAGATAGAACCGCACCAGCCAAGCATGCATTGACAAGCTGTTTGACTTTGGAAATAAAATACATTGTTAGTAATACAGTTGCATGATGTATATCTGTGAGACGGTAATCATGTGTCCAGCAGTTGGCCGTTTTGTCAGTGGCAGGACAACAGTGATTTGCAGGGCCAAGCCCGAAGACTTGCAGCGTAATCCAGGTCGTAATTACAGCGTGTGTGTTGGCTGCGAACTGCGGGGTTTCTGCTGCCAAATTAATAAGTGGCCATTTACGTCACGCTTTGTCAAGCTCCCAGTTGACAATGGCACTTGTTTTGTAAAGCTTTCCAATCAAGAAAAGGACTAGAAGCAGCCCCAGAGGCCCAGAGCCCCTCCAAAGCCGACACTATCAAAACTAGCGCGGTTTTGTTTCTTTGCCTCATGTAAGGATGAGAAAGCATGCGGAAAGGAAAGGTAATTAATGGCTTCCCGATCGTAGCTGCTCCGACTGCATCAGTACTACCTTTGTAGCTGCGAAGGGGGTTTCGCCAGCATAAAACGGGCAACTACACTGGCCGCGACACTCACGCACTTTGCCGCCTTCTCGTCGTTGTCGCCGGCTCTTTCCCTCCCACTTCGTCTTTGACACACTGCAACGCCTCCCTGCCCTCCTTCCTTATATAACAACCCAATGCGTGCTGCTCTCCCCCGCTCGCCAATTGTGCGTTCTGGTGTCACTGCCGCCACAAAAGCTTCTTCGACCACTGCTTTCTCCCGTTTGTTTACATCACCACGCCATATTTCCAAGATTATCTCCTTTAGGATCGCACCCGCTGCCATTCCTGCAGTCCGCTACATCAGCACTACCACTCACAACTGCTTTCATTCGTCGACGACCCTCGCGTCCCCAACATCAACCAAAATGGTAAGCTGACTGCATTTCTAGTCGTCGCTTCGGGCCTACAAGGAATTAATTGCCTGCCCATTCCCTCGGGTAGCGTCAGCAACTAATCCACCGACACAGACGGCTAGAGGCTTCAAGGTCACCGACTGGGTCGACCCCAAGGACACGTCCGGTGAGTTCAAGCGCCAGGTCAGCTCTTTCCGTGACTGGATCGGCCAGGCCGACGAGTCCGGCAACGTCCGGTTTCCCGCCGAAAAGGACCGCTACCACCTCTACGTCAGCTACGCCTGCCCCTGGGCCACACGCGCGCTCATCGCCCGCAAGCTCAAGGGCCTCGAGGACATTGTCTCCATGTCCGTCGTCCACTGGCACTTGGGCAGCAACGGCTGGCGCTTTGTCACCAAGGAGGACACCGATGTCCCCGGCGTGGGCGTTGTGCCCGATCCCCTGCCCGGCCACGAAGCCTTCACCCACTTGCGCGAGGTCTACATGCTCGCCAACCCCAACTACACGGGCCGCATCACGGTCCCCGTGCTGTGGGACAAAAAGACGCGCACGATTGTCAGCAACGAGAGCAGCGAGATCCTGCGCATGTTTGGCGCGGCCTTTGACGGCCTCATTGGCCCCGCGTTCCAGAAAGTCGACCTGTACCCCGAGGCCCTGCGCAAGGAGATTGAGGACGCGCACGTGTGGCAGTACGACCTGATCAACAACGGCGTGTACAAGAGCGGCTTTGCCACCAAGCAGGCCGCTTACGAGCGCAACGTCGTGGCCCTCTTTGAGGCGCTCGACCGTGCCGAGAAGCACCTGTCCGAGTCCAAGGGCCCCTATTGGTTTGGCGAGACCATGACCGAGGTGGACATCAGACTGTGAGCCCCCTTCCTCCCTTCGGCGGCTCCTTGTTGGGTTGTTGGGTTGTCCTTGATCTCGTTACCGATTCTGTACTGACTGCTTTTTTTCTTTGTAGATTCGTCACAATTATTCGCTTTGATGTGAGTGTTTTTATTTTTCTTTGTTCACCCCTGGGCTTTCTCTTTTTTGTTTTGCCAAATCACTAATTCACCGTGGACAGCCCGTCTACGTTCAACACTTCAAGTGCAACTTGTCCGACATCCGCTCCGGCTACCCCTTCCTCCACAAGTGGATGCGCAACCTCTACTGGAACCACCCTGCCTACAAGGACTCGACCAACTTCTTGCACATCAAGAATCACTACACGAAGAGCCACACCCAAATCAACCCTTTCAGCATCACCCCGCTGGGCCCCGTCCCGGATATCCTGCCGCTCGACCAGGAAGTGGCCGCCGTCAAGGCTGGCAAGCTGTAGGAGGGTACACCAATTAGCATTTTCAAAGGTTGATTTTGGATGGATGATTTAGTTCTGCCAATGCTAATTTTAATTGTTTGCTACCTTTATGATTCTCTTTAAAATTACGTCTGTGTTTGTGATTTATTGTTATTGACATTGTTGTCAGCATTATTTTATTATTTTACCACTATATTTTACTATTTCTCAAATGAAAATGTAACGAAAGACAGGATTGTTAATTCATTACCTCTTGAGGTGAAGATAGTTGGAATTTCAAAACTCTTCTCGAAACATCAAACCAGTCAGCAGGAGGTGGACATACCAGCATGAGATTAATGTAAGAAGCCAAAGGCTCCAACAAAAAAGCAATGCTAATACAGAACAGACAAATAAAGTAAACACCTGATAAACATGACGATGTACACAATAATATAGATTCGAAGCGAAAAGAAAACATTGTGATAGTAATGGCCACTTCCGCTCTCTTCGCTCCCAGGCAAATTCTCCAAATGAACGAACAAAAAAGCAAGATAATGTAAAGACAAGCTGTTGCTACAAAGACGGCATTTTTTCAAGACAAAAGTGTAAACAGAGCATGAAATCCCTGTCTTCCCGTACCCCGGAGATATGCAGAAAAAGGCAAAGAAACGACAAAAAGTAAAAAGAAATAAACGATAGGCAGTTAGATGGTTATTAGATATGAAAAATATTCCAGAAAATTTGTCGCACGAAAGATAGGAGACGCCAAGGCCTTTTTACAGCTGGCCAGAAAGAAGTGCCTCAGTTGCTGGAAAGAATGTTAGTACTACTGTCGTTTAAGTGAGTTGATCAGATGAGTAGAGAGTGGAGAACATACCGCTGTTGATGTAGGCACGGCGCGGGTCGAGGTTGACGTTAAAGCGGCGCTCAAGCTCCTGCTTGATGCCTTTCTTGGTCACGGTCATCAGGTCGGCCGTCCGGAGAATCTCGCGGATCTCGGCAAGCAACGCATCGTCGCTGGGCATGCCCACCAGGTTCGTCATCTCCATCTCGCCGCCGCCCATGAACTGGCTGGCGCCGAACTGGCTCATGCGATTGACGCCGGGCTGCTCGCTCATAAAGCTCATGCGGCTGGTGGCGGCGGCCATGTTGGGCATGGGCAGCGCAGACTTGTCGTGCATGGGGTAGCCGGCGGTCGAGCCGGGGCGCGACGGGTAGCCGTACTCCGACACCGCCACGTGGACACCGCCAGGGCCACCCATGCCCGGCTTTGTCGCGTACGAGTAGCCCGAGATCTCGGAGTGAGCGTCGTCGCGCGCTGTCTGAGCATCCCACAACTCGCCCTGGTACTCCTCCCACTTCTTGCGAGGGATCGAGCTGGGATCGAACTTGCCCTCGTCGGAAATAACGACCTTCTTGCCCTTCTCGCCAGCCACCACACGGGTGTTACCCCAGTTGAAGTCGTCCATGTGCCAGAAGGAGTACAAGGGCAAACCGAAACTGAAGATGGGAATGGCCAGAACGTACATGAGCATCCAGCCAATCATCTCCCACTTGCGGTGTAGGATGAAGATGATGGCTTGCAGACCGTAGATCACACCGAGCAGGATGAACGCAGTGATGGGCACAACAGTTCCCTTGGTGGCAACAAGCACTATCAGGTAGACGATGTAGGCGAGGGTGACAGGCTGAATGATTGTCGACAGAAGATCCACCAGGACAATGAAGCGCATGGAGAAACAGCAGAAGCCACAGAGCTGGGCCATGGGCATCAGTTCCATCAAGTTGTGCACAGTGGAGTTAATCCAGCGACGACGCTGCGACAGGAACACCTTCCATGAGTCGGGGGCAATCGTCCAGGCATGGGCACGGTTGATGTACTTGGTCTTGTACTTGCTGTGATGCTTGAGGAGTAGCGTCGTAAGGAAACGATCCTCACCAAGGTGCAGCAGATTCTTCATGTGCAGCGTATCCACCCGAATGGTGGAGTAGTTTTCCACAATTTCGCGCGAAACAAACAGAGGTTTGCCCGTCTCGGCGGCACGGATGCGGTACATGGAAAAACAACCGGGTAAACAGGTGACGGAGCCGAACAGAGATTCGAAAGCCTTGGACAGATTGTGCGAAATGTAGTACTCGTAGACCTGAATCATCGTCACAAACGAAGCTTTGGCGTTCGTCAGGGCGGTTTCACCACACACGGCAATGAGGCGCGTGTCGTCGAGGAAAGCAGAGACGAAGCGCGTGCCAGAGTCGGGGGCAACCACTGTATCGGCATCAATCTGGAGCAGGAATTCGTAGAAAGTAGGATTCACGCCAATGATGTTCCGGATTTGATGGTACATTTCGAGTTCCAGAGGGCTCATGGCCAAGTTGTAGTGCACGCGGTTGAGGAAGCGCATCAAGATCATCTGCGAGTCACGCTTGCCGCGGTTACCAGGACGAGACACCTCAGACGGCTTGCCGATCTTGACAATGACAAGGAAGGGCACAATGTGACCCTGCACCTCGTAGAGACCGGAGTAGACCTTGCCCATGTTGTGCTGCTTCATGCCCTCGCCAAGTGACTCAAAGCTGAGCGGCTCAGGGTCGACCGTCTCAGAAACGCCTAGGATGTCCAGGACGATGCGAGGAGTCGGGCGATCGTTGCCCTGGCCAATAATCATGCCGTCACAGATAATGACGAGCAACTTGCGCTTATCATCGTAGCGCATACGGGCCACGGAGTCGATGGCACGACGCAGGGAATCCTCGTCTTCGGTGTAAGCGGGGATCTGGCACATGATGAACTTGTCGAGGTTCTCGGGCATGTTCTTGGTACCAAATTGCAGGGCTGCCAGGAACTTGAAGCCGATGACGGAGGCAAGCAGGACGGACACAGCAAGGACAAAGTAATCGGCAAAGAGACACTTTGGGGAGTTTCTCGTGTCGACATCACCCGTGTAGAACAGGTTGTCCAGACACAGCATCATGCGCGACTTCTCAGTCGATGTTAACGAAAGAGCATTCCAGTACTTGGTAACATCGTCACCGGCCTTCTGCTGGAAAAGGTCGACAACCAGCTGATTCATGAAGTTGACATCATCGGCGGAACCGCTGACAGACTCGCCGGCCGGGGCGACTAGCTGACGGCCGTTGGCAATGTAGTTGGTCATATCATAGATGCGGCCGTTGAGGATAGCAACTGACTTGCCACCATTAGCCAGCTTCGACACGTAGCTCGAGGTGTATCCGATGTTGCCCTTCTTGTAACTGGAGCGCATCATGATCATCATCTCCGAGAACCAGTCAGGACGCGAGTCATTAGTGAAGTAGCGGAAATCATGGTACCGAGCATTCAGATCTGTGTTGCTGATCGTCGTGACGGAGCCGGTGGTGTTAGTGGACTTGAAGTCCAGCGTCACCTCAGGGTTGATGCCGGCATCGGTCGTGCCCTGGCACAGAGCGGAGACCTGGACAGGGAACAGGGACGTTATGTCCTCACCAGCGTACTGCGTGAGCATCTTGGGCGGCAGGTATGATGGATAGTGATGCGGGACGAAGGCGCCCAGGTCGAACACCTGACCGCGGATGGCGACGAAGGAAGAGGCGCCGTTTTGACCGTTCTTGGCCGAAAGCTCAGCAGCGCTGAACACATGCTGAGTTGGGCAGATAAGACGGGGGAAGGCAACCAGGAAGAAGGCACAGAAAGCACAGCTGAACCAGATGATGAAGTTGATGGCCAGCTTCTCACGCCACGCCATGCGGACATCTTTGCGAGGCATCCGGCCGATGTAGCGGATCGCAAAGTCAGGGATGAAGAAGGTGAGCAGGTACACAATGAACACCCAACGCTTGCGCTTGGACGAATCACGGTACTCCTCGACTTCGACCATGGCCTTTTCGTTGCCACGCTCCGCCATCTGCTCGCGCGTGTCCAGGTTCTGGAACATGTCACCGGCACCAAAGGCAGACACTCCAGCTTCGGAACGAGCGTCGACGTCGTTGCTTCCAAAGTAACCAGCACGAGCCTTGTCACTAATGCCAGCCGCCGACGGTGTGTTGGAGTTGGAGACGAGGCGCTCCTTGGAGACGCCGAAGGGATCAAGCGGCGTCAAGCCGCCATCACCAGGATCCGAGGGAAGGCCATACCGAGCAGAATGAGAAGTAGCGTCAGCAAAGTGGGAAATCTCCATCCAGCAACGTTCGCTGAGGAAGACACCAGTAGCACCAATCTGGATCTCGTTGCTCGGCCAGCGCTTGTCCTCGACGACAGACTCGACCTTCTCGCGCTCACTGCCGACGAGAAGCGTCTCGGTATCCGTGAGGCCCAGGAACTCGCCAAACGGAAGGAACAAGCTGAAATCAGCAGAGCGCAGGCGCTGGCTGATCTCGGCAATACCAAACGTCTGGATCTGAGTCCGCACGCACTTGCTGTCAAACTGGTTGGCAATGCGGCGATCGTTGGGCTTCAAACAGAACACAAAGTAGGCGTTTGTGTTGGGGGCATTGAACGACTTGGTGACATTGTCCAGCGAGGTGAGGAACTGGCCAGAGGCGCCTTGCTCGGAGTTGGCCTTGGTGTTTCCGCGGCGACCATCGCCGGCAGGGGACGTGGCACCGCCAGCATCGCTGGCAATATCCTCGAGAGACTCCTTTTGTTGGACAGTATCATGACGGCGGCGGGCGGCGCCAGCACGGCCACCCTTTCGCGACATGACACTAGGGGCACGCATGGGCTTGGAGCTGACCGAGGCCTGCATGACAGTGGATCGCTCCTGGGGGTGGACAATGGTCTGCAGGGCCTCCTGGCCAAAGAGACGGGCGACAAACTCACTCTTGGTAGAGTTGATCAGGTTCAGCAGGTCACCGGAGATGACCTCGCCGTTCTCCTCAACAAGGCCCTTGACCGGGTACTCCACCTCACCGGCAAAGTGCTTCACAGTGAAGGAGGCGGCCGCGTTTTCGGACAAGAAGTTGCTGCCGGGCAGCTTGGCAGTGGCCGAGCTCACGGCAATAGCGGGATTCTTGCCCTCGAACCGCTTGCGGAAGCTTTCCAACAGCTGCATATCGCTGCGGTGGCGGCGAGTCTGGTCGTCGAGGATGCTGAGCAGACCGTTGCCAGACTTCAGCAGACCCTTGACGGCATCGGAATTGTCAAAGTAGCTGGTGGCAGCGACACTGACCTCCTCGCTCTCCAGAAGATCGGCCTTGCGGTCGAAGAAGTTCTGGAGAGTCATGTTGTACAAAGACTCGGTGGCGGCGTTGTTCAGCAGCTGGTCCAGGGCCGAGCCCGTGGAGGACTGCTGCGAGAAGCCAGGGAAGTCAATGATGGAGACGGTGTTGGCAATGGCATCCTCAGCAGCACACAGCTTCTGGTTGATAGTCTCCGTCACGAAGGCAACGAGAAGAGAGTACAAGGTGCGGGCAAGTTCGTCGGCGTTGCTACGAGCGCCGGCAGGGTCGAGCATGACGGTGACACGCTCCTTGTTGATCATCTTGGTCTTGTAACCCAGGGTAGTTTGCAGATCTGCAGCACTGACACCAAGGAAAGCAGCAATGATAGACAAGACCTCCTTGTTCTTGACGCTGATCACAGTCTGGCCGCCCTCGTGCGAGAAGCCACCGCTGTCGTCGGCGGTTGGGGTGGTGTTGTTTGTACTCTCGAACTCGAGCTGGCCGATGTGCAGAATGCTGGCGAGAACCTGGCAGATCTCGGCAATCTCGCTCCGCGGGAACTCGAGCTTGCGGAGAGCCGTCTTGAAAAGCTGGAAGCCCTCGGCGTCGTTGATGCCGACCTTGAGCTGGGTGGGGTGGCCCAGGTACTTCCAGCGGCGCTGGCTGCCACCATGGGGTTCGTCGAAGCCCAGATGCGTCTTCTCAGCGGCACTGGTGCCGGCCATCAAGTAGTACAGGATGTGGAAGTTACGCTCGCCGGTGGGGACATCTGCTATCCGGCTACGCTCCAGACGATGGTCCAGGAGCTTCGCACCGATCAGAAGCGGCGCCGTGGAAGAGGCCGTGTCATACTGCAGCTCGTAGAAAAGACCGGCCTTGGAGGCGGTGGGAGTCGTCGCCGTTTTTGTGGTGGTGAGCGAGTCGAAGACGTAGGCGGCCAGGGAGACCTTGTTCGACAGTGGTGTTGACGACTTGCTGAGAAGTGCCGTGAGGAGATGGGCGCGGATGGTCGTCTTACCGGAGCCGGACTCACCCCTGAACGGATTAGCATCGATGTTCAGCAAGATCAGGTAGCTCGTATGCGCAGGAAGAAAGAAAAGGGAACAAATCTTACAGGAAAAGGATAGCCTGGTTTTCGGAGCGGTGGCCAAGACGGAGGAAAGCACGGTCAGCCATGTCCTCGGCCTCCGCCTGGGCGCTGCCCTCCTTGCCGCCATCGACGCCCTTGGTCGACGAAGAGTATGTGTTAAGGGAGATGAAGGCGTGGGACGAAAGCCGGGCGGTGGGCAGGGAGACATGGAAGCGACTGGCGAGGTGAGCGGTCAGGTGCGTATCGGACTGGAGATGAGCGGGAAGCGAGGGCAGCGAAGGTTGTGTGTGGGCACCGCCGGCACCGCCGCCGAGCGGCGGGAGGTTGAGGGCCATGTTGGCGCGAAGTTGGCGGCCGACGAGGCCGAAAGTTCACGAGAGGACGGGTTGGAAAGCGAGAGGATGATAGGAAACGAGGGTCGGGAACGGACAACGAGGACCAGCGTTTATGACCGGTATCTCTCCTGGTTCGAGACGTGTCGTCGTCGTCGTCGTCGTCGTTTGTCGGCCTCCAGAGGAGAGTGCCAATGTTTGGTTGTACTGCTGCTGGTTCGAGCAGGCGTGAAGCGAGCGTGATGATTTGGGTGAGGTTGACAAAAAAGAGACTGATCTCTCTCGCGAAACGAGTGACGATGAGAGGAGTACGGTGGAGGAGGGGGGACGAACAAAAACACAAAAACAGAGTAAAATGGATAATGTGCAAATATGAAAATCAAAAGAGAAAGAACAACGAACGGAAGCCTCCAAGCCACTAGAATTAGAAGTAACGAAGGACAGACGATAGGAAGAACGATCGCGGTGGGCAACAACGAGGAGCAAATGGTGAGGGCTAGGAAACGAGGCCGGGACGGGAGAGTAGGGAAAGTACTAGGGGGCCAAGACGAAAAAAAAGAATAAAAAAGAATGACAGCAGGTACAACTGCTGGAATGGCCTGAAGTACAGGGGATGGAACAAGGCTTGGCCAGGCCACGGTTCCGAACGGAATGAGAGAAAGGCTGTTCCTTCCCCGGCTGTTAGCACTGTTGTTTCCCTCGTGTTTGCACAGAAATGTGCCCAGCCAAGCCTGTCAGTTGGGCACATCGAATGTCAACACTGTTGCTGTTGTTAGAGCAAGGGGGGACACGCTTTCCCAAAGGAGGCGGGCGAACCGATGTCTGGCGGCGAGAAACAGGGGGATCACCTTTCGTTTCCCAGGGAATTTTTGGCTAATTTTTAGGCGTGCCTCAATCCAGATCCTAAAAAGGAGCCCCAACGCGCTAGTCTCGTATCCTTGTTTATGGTTCCGTCCCGGGCACCGGCACACAATATTTCGTACAGAGCTGCAGGACAACGGGCGGCGTTACGAGAAATGGTGGGCCGTAAGAATCGAGGCACAGCCGCTGGCAATACATCGTACAATGCGATGCAAGAATACAGGTTTATGCAGAGAGAGCAGCCATGCTATTGTGACGATACGAGCCTGGTTATAGTGACCGTGATAGTGGCTGAGGAAGATGGTAATTAATACTTGGTGGATACTTAGAGTCGGCCATTAGGTAGCTTCCAGCTTGCTCCAGGAGAGCTTTTAGGGCATATTAAAAGGCGAGATAAAAATCGATAAAACCGATAAATTGCGATCAATTCAACTCCTTTCCATCGCCTGCCCTAGCTCACGAATCTCCACAATACCGACAACCAGATCGCATCTCGTTTCTGGACTTAATAAGGTGCGAATTTGAGGTTGATAGAGACATAGTGCTGATGGGGATGATTTGTTTCCGATTGCACAACGCCAGCTTGCACGTTTCGTGTGTTCTGCTCTTTGCCCTGGATCATTTACGCTGTGTCTTTACATATCGTGTTTTGCCTTGACGAGGGAGCTTTGGATTCGTGAGAGGAATCAACATTCGTGTCGAACGAGGCAGAGGCCGACGCGCTGGCGCGTGCCCCTCCTGATGGCACCTGGGTAAGACAAAACACGGTGACAGATATGTCACGACGGCACGCAGTGGGCTTCGGTTGAGACGCGGCGGCATGCTTCATTTGTGGGCTTTGTATCTCTTTTCCCTTTCTGATCACTTATTGCAGTATTGTCTGTTTTCCTTCATTTTTTACTACAGCTTACCTATGTTTTGCCTCTACGTGTGGCTTTCTCAGATCCTACAGGCGGAAAAGGCTCTATTTTCTAGGAGTCCAACTGTGCCTTATACGGGACGCTGGATTTTGGCACACGTTGATGCGAGGGAGTCGCCGTTAGCACGGCAGGCCGAGGAAGCGCTTGCTTCAGCGGTGTGAAAGTCGAGGAGAGATGTAAAACTACCCTGGGCTGAGTACTCCAGCATAATTGCAAACAGGCTATTAATACATACCAGGCCGTGCCAGAACACGACAACCTTTCCAGAAACCGCCAGCGCATCAACACTGCCTCTGAACAGCCGACATGATGACTTGTGGCTGCTATCTTACAAAAGCCATGTCAGCGCCTGCATCTCTCTCTAAGTACCAGCCTCAACCGCTTCTTCGTGGTTTCTTTTTGCTTCACTTTTGTTTGTTCTCCAGTCATTTGCCGTAGTCGTCGACTTTCGCGACGTGTGGCGCCGCTCTGGCCTCGTAATTTACGTTGTTGGATGCGCTCTTGCAGGCCCCTCAGCCCCTATTTTGTCATTCCCGCAGGCTTTCATTGGCTGTAGGTGCTCTGGTCAACAGAACCCTGAAAATGGGCTCAGGGTATTTTTGCTCCACAAGGATGCCACCCGCGAGTGTGAACCTCAGGGATCCTGGGATTCTAATATCCATGCATCTTTTTCTTGTCAGCGCTCTGACCCTTGCCTTGGATCGCAGAGGATTGAATGTCCTGGTCCATAATAATCCAATTCGAAAAATGGAGGTGTGGGGATTTCCGTCGAGACGGAGGAACTGCCTATCCTTTCCTTACCGGTGCGGTTTACTCAGTAATATGCCACCCCCTAACTCCTTAGCTTTCGATTTCTGCGCTCGTCAATCGCTGTGGTGTGGTCTGGTCCTTGCTTGTTTGCGATCATCTCGGATAAGAAACCTGAAAATCCCAGTGGAGGCTGCATGCCGAGCTTCTCGATCATGGTAATGGAGTACATCGATAGACAACGGGAAAACGTGCACGCATCTTGCCCCTGAAAGGAAAGTGGGACGGACAGAGAGGCAGCACATAGCGAGACACGAAAACGAAAATATTCCAAAGGATTCATTCCAGAAAAAGAGGCCGCAAAACTACAAGAGCCAGCGCGAGAAAAATTTTGCGCAGGGGCCTAAGGCGTCTGGAGTCTCGACACATTCACCACAAGGAAGCCGGAAACCCCTGAAGCTTGGCTACTTTGGGATCTTGCGTGCATGTTGTTTTGCTTTCCCAACTCGCTTTGCATCGCCTGGTCGGCTTTGGCAAGTGCTGGTTTTCTCATCGTTGCCCCCACAATGTCGGTCATTGACCACAAGCCAGACCGTCGGCATGGCCTTGTTAGGCCTGGCCTGGTCGGTCTGGATTGTCCATAGACTTTTCACCAGTCAACACTCAGCTGCCCACAATAATGATCACGGGCTGCACATGACACAGCGCATCTAGGGTAAGACTACTTTTTTTCTCAGCTGCGCTGCTCCTGAATCTGCGTATCGCCGGCGCCCCAGAAAGCAAGGAGAGACCTGTCACCGATGTCTCTGTAATCTTCCCCTGTTTTTGGACTGCCGTCAGTGGTGCTGATCTCCTATTGAATTGGCTGTCGATGGGGGTGTCGACCGGAGAACGACGTACATTCCATTGAGTTGTCATGACGGTGTAAGTTATGTCAGAGTACGAAATAATACGTCGTAATTACGTTCGTATCCACTGCTCTGGACAACAACAAATAGGGACTCTCTGGACAAAATACGATGTATGAGAAGCATCGACCAAGCCCTGCTCGTCTTGAGACTACGGGGGGAAATGCTTCAGTAGCGATTCTGGCCTTTTGGACACTTTGTGTTTGCCATCCTGACTTATCGGCCACACTCGCCCACTGTACCTAAAAATAAGTGTTGGCTGCGAATCACAAGGCACGGTCGACAGAATGGTTTGTTCTTTTGTAAATGCTTGTTTTCGAAAGGCGAGAAGTTAGACTGAGGTTGAAGACTCTCTATCTGGCGATGCTTCGGCTTTTCGTCTCTCCAATGTTCAATGTTTTGACTCCCACCCCGTTTTACCTATTTAAGACTACTTAAGAGGACTTGTAAACTGCTAATTTATTGTGCATCGGCTTGTCTCACAAGAGCGGCCTAACACAAGCCGACACCTCCCCCTTCCCTCCAAGTTTGCTCGTATCTTTGGCAACGGTTTACTAGCACGTTACTTGCTTTTCGGCTTTTGTTGGTTGTCCCGGGCTATTTGCAGCCAAAGAGTCGCCAGAAACTGGGTTTCCGTCCTGCCCGACAAGCCTGGCTGCATCTCCGCTTACACAGCAGCCAAAAAACGCTACAAGCACACATGCACGGATGTGGCCACAAAGTGGCCTCGTGTTTTGGCTGAATGCTTTGTCTGCACACTTGTTTGGACACAGATGGTTTTGGCATGGATGTAGTCTGGGCCGCCTGGTTGTTGCCCTCCCCCTCGTAGTCTCCTTTGCATCGTGTTACGGACACACACTCAAACCTGAAAGCTCGTGATGGTGGATCCCTGGCGTGTTTTCCAGAACGTACCAAGCCACCCTTTTACACACAGCGAGCCAAATCGTCACTCTGTGGCCTCGTATTTTGCAGACTTGTGCCGGTTTTACCGCACCCACTTGGGCCACCTCTTCCCGTTTACGAGGCTTCCATTGGGGCACAAAAGGAAGCAAAATGGTGCGTCATTCGCCCACACATGGATGCTGACCTGTTACTTTGCCAATCGTATTGGGTGCGTTGCGTGAAAATCTCTGCGCTGTGGCCAGAATGAGAAACGATTCTGTTACATCGCGCGATCGTGCTGCCCGTCGACGTTCTGTGAATGGCCTGTGGTGTTGTTTATTTTTATTTAACGTAGCCTTTCGTTTCCTTCTCTCTCACATTTTTCTCTCGCTCGTTTCTCTTCCTCCCTATTGTCTTCCCACTCTGTGGGACGCGACGAGAATGCTGCGTGATTCCTGCCGGCCCTGTGTGACTTCACGGCACAGTAAGATACAGCGTAGTAATACAGCACCGAAAGCCACAGGGCCAGATTGTTCACTGGAACAGCTTGCACAGTTTGTGTATTAAACCAAAAGCATATTTTTAAAGGATGCCCCTTTTCGGACAGAACTAGCCTCTTTGGGACACCTAATGGGCTGGCCCGGTAGCAATGGCTAGAACGATGGCAATGAGAGGCGACAGAGGC